AAATGAATACAAATAAAGATGTTTCAATTTAGATGGGATGGTGATAATATTTATCATCATATTTGCAGAGTAGAGACTTTATAAAGTAAAAAGATGTAATCATCTTTTCTCCATGGCTTTAGCTGAGTATTGGTTTCCTTAGGCAGGCTTTGCCAAAGACATTTGACCTTGAGACCTCACCCAATTAAAAACCCTGGTGATAAGTCTCGATTTAACATCCAATACAAAAAGAGAACCAGTTAATAACAGATGATAAAAGAACCACAGGGCGAGACCTACTATTAAAAGAGGTAGAGGAAACTAATGTGTCTTTCTAGAGAAAAGAAAGAGACTCACTATTTGAGAAACCCAGAATAAACATTGACTTTGGAGAACAGTAGACTTGAATTCTGGGTCTTATCACTGTCCTGGTCCTTACCTGCCTTTGAACCTCCTGGAACTGGAGTAGGACGTCGTAAAAGAATATATAAAGTGTTAAGATATATAACAGATAACTGAAATGGTTGTCATTGGAGTTCTTCAAACTAGTTCAAAAGAAACATTTAAGATTTTCTCAGATCCCTTCTGCAGAAGACTCTGAACCAGGAAATAGTTTTAGTTTGATCAGTTCCTGCTATCTGGATTTCTGGGCATTCCTCCCACACTCATTGGTGTGTGCCTCACCACTGAGCACGTCAATCATTAACTTGGCCTGGCAGTAGTTTCACCACACCCCAGAGGGGGGGAAGGGGGGGTGCAGGTTCTGGGACCCACAAATTCATGGTGGGTGATTCAGTTCAGTTAGGAGCAGATTTCAGGAGCGTTACTAGGGTAATACCTTTTATTGGAATAACACATTGCAGCTTCTGATTTACTTGTACATTAGGGAGCTCACTTGGCCGTGGTGACAGAGTTACCGTATGAGGAGTTTGAAAATCTGTGGTCTCAGCGATCTCAGGCAAGTCACTCTGTGCCTGTCTTTCCCCAGCTGTAAGATGGAGATAACACTATTTTCTCTAACACACAGAGTTGTCCTGTGGCTCAAGTGGAAACATATATATGCAAGGGAATGCTTTGCAAACTTTAAAGCTTTGTGTAAATAGAAGTCAACATTTAAAATAACATTAAAGATGAGGAAACTGAGGCTGTGAGACGTTCATGGACTTGTGAGAGGTAAGAATGGGCAGCAAACGGCAGAGCTGGGCTCCAGCATTCTCCCAGAAAGAAGTTGGTAGGGAGTGGAGGTCTGTCAGTTTCTTTAATACACATATGTATTTTTAAAGCTGGAGACAGAGACGAAGGGCGGGTAGCTGAGTGCGTGCTCTGGGTCAGCACCCCTGTCCTGGAGGAGCTCACCCAACGGGGGAGAATGATCAAGCAGATCAGTCACAGCAGTGTGGAGTTAGGAGTGCAGCAGGCTCGCCCGAGTATACAGCAGGCTCCGGACAGTCCAGGGGAGACGACAACCAATTTGGAATGGGGGTGCAGTAAGGAAATCTGCAGAGAAGAGGGCAAGAAAGAGGTGGGAGAGGTCCATCATTCTCTTTGACCACCCACAGCTGAGCCCTGCTCTCACCTGTTTTCAAGGTTTCCCCTTCCTCCTTTCCCCTTTGGAGACACATCCTTCCTCTCATTACTTAAACCCATTACTTAAACTGGAAATGCTACTCCCTATCCTGGCTCCCCCTAAGCTGAGGGGCACGGGCTGTGACCTGAGCCCCCGAACCTCCTGTATCTACCTCTTGCCTTGAAAGCAAGAGAAATGGAGGGTCTGGGCGCTGCCCCCTCCCACACCCCCACTCCAGTGGCAAAGTGAGCTGCCTGGTGTTGCAGGCTGAGGTCCTAACAGCCCCTCTGTGGAGAGGTTGGCCTTCTGTTCCAGACACTGATATCCCAAATCTGGCTTTCTGGCCCTTCTGGAGAATCCGTGAACCACCCATTATCTTTTAAACCCATGCCTCTCAAATTAAAAGGTACAGACAAATGACCAGGAGATTGTGTTAAAATGTAGATTGGGACCAAGTAGGCCTAGGTGGGCCCGAGAGTCTGCATTTCTAGCAGGCTCCCAGGCCATCCTGGTGCTGTCCACACAAGATTACAATGGAGGTGTAAGGGCGTAGGGGACGGGAATGCTAACTACCTGGCTAAATTGACTTCTCTGGAATCCCTTCTTCATAACACTCCCTGTCTCTTGAAGTAAATGAAGAGGTAAAGTCAGGCTAGATAAAGACAAAAGCAGAGCAGTTCTCCAAAGACATAGTGACATTTGTCACCAGTAAAAGCCTAAAGACCAGCATCTCAGTCATCTTGGGTTGCCATTACAAAATACCGTAGCCTGAGAGTCAGGAAACTCTGGAGGTGCCCCAGGGCTAAGATAAAGGACCTTGATACAGGACAGAGACCCTGTTCTAAGACCGGTTGTTCCTGATTTTGGGAAAGTACTGAATTACGGTGACTCATGAACGCGCCTGCGCAGAAGATGCCACGTGACCCCTGCTTCATTATAATAGCATTATAATAACATTGTGCCTTCATGGCCAATGTTATTGTCCCTTCTCCAGTGGCCAATCAAGGAAAATCATGGGAGACCACATGCGCAGTAGCTTTAAAGTAATACAACTACTCGTACGTGCCCAATAAAAGCCTGCCAAAACTAGTCAGGAAGGATCCGTCCTATAAGAATAGAATCCCTCCAGCCCCTGCAGTCAATCTCTCTGCTCGGAGTTCGCCTGCTCCCATATTCTGTGGGGTGTACTGTCGCTGAATAAATCTGCTCTCTCTGCTGCTATAAATTCGGTGTGTTTGGTTCAGTTCTTTGCCCGAGATCGCTAAGAACCTGGTTACCTGTGCCCACCCGTGACAGTTTACTCAACAAGCATTTATTCCTCACAGTTCTGGAGGGTGGGAGCTGCAAGTGCTGCTGGCAGAGTCCGTTCTGGGTGAGGGCCCCAGGGCTGGGCTGGGTCCTCCACTGGTCTAAGCTATTCTGGGTTTGGGTGAGTCCTGTGCTCAGGTCCTGATGAGTTAAGAAATTCCAAGGGTCATTTTGACTACATTATATGTAGTACCCAAGTCAGTGAATTAGCCTCATTCTTCCCACTTTGTATTTGTATTAAATATTTAAAAATATGAGCAGGGCAGCAAGCATCAAGACTTTCTCTTTTATGGGAGATGCCCAGGACTGAGACAGAGAATGACGGATGGAACCAGATCCACCTATGTCAGCTCACCATCTCATTTCCTTGGAACAGCAAGGAGAATTGGCAACACTGTGCAAATTGTTCTTTCTTCCTATTTTGCACAGTAGGGTTGAATTTATATAAGTTAAAAGTACACATGATGTGACCCATTGCACTAACTGTAGCATCTTGTTTCCAGTTTGTATATTTACTTATTGTTGCATAACAAATTATCCTCAAATCTAGCAGCTTAAAACAGCAAACAGTTATTATTTCATAGTTTGTGTGTGCCAGGAATCTGGACGTGGCTTAGCTGGGTGTTTGCCGCTCAAGGTCTTTTGTGAGCTGGCGGCCAAGCTGTCCATCAAGGCTGAAGTCATCCAGACTCAACTGGGGGTGAGGGTCCCATTTCAAGTCCACTTTACAGTTGTTTTCAGGTTTTAGTTCTTACAGCCTGTGGGATCCACAGCCTCAGTTCTTTGTCGGTCTCAGTTGCTTATCATACCCTGCAGGCCTTCTGGAAGCCAGAGGAAAACTGAGGGAAGGAGAGAATGGTCGAGCGAGTCAGTGGCATATGGAAAAGGGTACCTCAGTCTAGCAGCTGCAAGCTCACTGGAGAGTGAGGGTGGGTGGGGAAGCATGTCACAAAACTGGTTGAGAAGCGAATGGGGTGGGGGGGGAAGACAGGGCCTGTAGATCCCAAACCAGGGTCTGCAGCAGGTGCTGGGATGACCCACCTGGGGAGCTCATAAAAAATATCCAGTTCCTTAGAGTTAACAACACTCTATTGTATATTTGAAAGTTGCTGACAGAGTAGATCTTAAAAGTTCTCATTACAAGAAAAGAAAATATTGTAACTGTGTGGTGTCGAATATTAACCAGACTCATCGTGGTGACTATTTCACAATATATAGCTATATTGCCATTACATGTACCCCAGAAACTGTTATATGTCAACTATATCTCAAATTTTAAAATATCAGTTGCTAGGACGCTTCACAATTTTTTTTCAAGGAGACTGAAGTTGAGAAAAGTTAAATTCCTTGCTCAAATTTCTAGAGCTAGGATAGGGCAGAGCTGGGTTCGGAATTGCGGCTCCTCTGGGCAGGTAAAGTTGCCTTGAGTAAGGGACAGGGCAGCCGGGCTCCCCACAAACCCATGTGGACATGGCTCGCCACTGAGAGCAGGGTGGCCCTACACAGACAAGGAAACAATCACGCTGAAAAATCAGGTGAAAAACTGTACCGTGAGGGTCACCCACAGTCTAAGCAGAAGTTCTGGCACTTTTCTGCACATTGATGTCACCTGGGATTTTAATTTTATTTTTTTTAGAGAGAGGAGGGAAGGTAGGGAGACAGGGAGAGAACATCAATATGTGGTTGTCTCTCGCACGCCCCCGACTGGGGACCTGGCCCACAGCCCAGGCACATGCTCGGACTGGGAATCGAACCCGGGACCTTCCAATTTAAAGCCAGACTTTCAATCCACTGAGCAACATCAGCCAGGGCACCTGGGATTTGTAAAATTACCCATGCCTGCGTCCCACTCCACTGATTACCTTGGTCTGGGACAACACTGGTCTGGGGTAACATTCCAGGTATCCCAATTAAAAAAAGAAAAAGAAAAAGAACTCCCTGGGTTACTTAATTTGCAGCAAATTTTGGGAACCACTGGTTTAACTCATCCATCGTTACATTTGGGGGAGGGGGTGGTGAATCACACAACTCTTTAACCCAGTGAAGGCTGTTGTCCCTCATTCTACGCATTTGTATTTAGATACAAAAATCTGGCATAGAATTTCAAGGGGTTTACAGATCCTAAGAAGAGAATCTGGGAACCGCTATGGAGCGGGTGTTTGTGGTCCTCAGCGAAAATCCCCAGATACAGGAGTATCCAACTCCAATCAGTGTGACGGAAGCGCCCTGTCCCCTCCAGAATGGCACTGGCACTTCTCCTTCACTGAAGCCCGGTGTTAGTGTCACCCAGCGGAGTTCCCACAGGCGACGGTTCTGACTCGCAGCCGCGGCGCGGCGGTAGCGTGTGACCGTGCACGCGCTAGCCTCCAGCGAGCTTGCGTTTCCGTTACGGGAGCCAAGGCCGCCTGAGGCTGCGGCTGCAGATGCGCGCCCAGCGCCCCACCCGCCCAGTCCCCTCCCCCGGCCGCTCTCGCTCGCCACCCGCTCGCCGGCCTTCCCCTTTCCCACCCCCGGCAGCGTCGGCCGCCTCCGGGTGCGCAGAGCAGCGCCCCGCACGCGAGCCCCTCCTGCAGCCGAGCCGAACGTGGCGGGCGCCGAGCGCCGGGGGTGCGTAGCGCTGCCTCCGAGCCGCCGAGCAACCATGAGCCGCGGCGCGGTGGCCCCGGAGAGCAGGTGAGCGCAGCCGCAGGGCTGGGGGGCGCGGGAGGGTGGTCGGAAGGAGAAAGGGCAGAGCGGGGTGAGGGGGTGGGGCGCAGCTGGGCCCAATATCGCCGCGTGCCGAAGGAGCTTTTCTGTAGCACCCGGACACCGGGCTCTGCCCCTGCAGTTGACCATGTGGTGCTAGGGGCTCCACTGCCGCCCCGCATCCCAGCTCCCGGCCCTAAAACAAAGAGCCCTTCGACGGCGGCACCTGCACCGCGTGCGGTACGGAGCACAGGGAGAAGATGCGCCCCCTGCCCGACCTCGACCCCTTCCTTATCTAAGGCCCAAGGCTCGGCGGTCGCACTGGGGCAGGGTAGGCGGCTCCGGGGTCGCGCGCAGGTGCCCGCGCGGGAGGCGGTGGCGCGCAGCGCAGAGGGGCGGGGGTCCGGCCGGAAGGCGGGGCCTGCAGGCGGCGCTGCGGCCTTTGCAGCCACTGCTTTCCTCTTGCAGGACACCCTGCCGCGCGGCCACGGCCGCAGGTGAGCGCTATTTGTTCACATCCTGGTGCGGGCGGGGGTGAGGTGGGGTGGGGAAGGCGGAGGAGGGTTGCACTGTGGTGCCTCCTCCGCCCTCTGTGGTGGAATCGCGCCCTTCCCGCCTTTGTGGGTGACTTCCCTCCCGAGGCCCAGCTTTTGTCGTCCTCATTTGCCCCTAGCGCTTGGGCTTCAGGTCTCCCGAGTCCCTGCGCCTTCTCTACCTAAAGGAGGACTTGGGCCCGGACCAGGTGCTCACCGTTGGCACTTTGGCCTTCAACTTTTAAATAGTTTGAGTGGAGGACAGGATTAGTTCCTGAATGTCTCCCTTTGCCCATGTGAAGGTCTCCCCCTTTCCCGTCAGCCCCTCACCCCCCAAGTGGCACTAATGCAATGTCTTCCCTACAGAACTTTTTGCTTGAAGGATTTCTGCTATTACTGTAAAAGTGCCTCTGTCATCAGTGTCCCACAGAACTTTAAAAGCAGCTTTTACATAAGAATGTTTATTAGGAACTATTTTGGGAAAGCTCTAACAGTGTTGTGGGCTGTCCCGTCCCCAGAGGTACCCACTGTCCTCTGCAAAAGCAGGCTTTTACCATTGGAAGTAGTGTTTCAGCAAAAGACACGTGATGGGCGGTTTGTAAAAGATAGCCTTTCAGTAATATTGCAGTAAGTGCTGGGAGGAAGTGCTCCCAAAACAAATGCTCAGCAAAGATTCTCAATCTTTAGAGAATCTTTGAGACAGTCACAAACTGCCAAACAAAAGTTTCTACAGAAACAACTAGAGGAAGAAGAGAATGCCAAGGTTAACAGTTTCCTACTTCAGTTATTGGTAGATCATTAAACATTTGGCCCAGCTTCTCTCAGGGTGGAGGAAGTTTTTTTTTTTTTTTCTTTAAAGCACTGTTGAAACCAGGAAGACAGACTATAAATGTCTTTTTTCCCCCCCTTGCTATTAGCATGAAAAAAACCACACTGGAACATGAACTGAGTTTACTTTGAACATCACTCTTCTGACAGGTGTCACTCAACAGCAAGGCTTGTGAATTATTGTTAAAAGAGACCTCTAAAGTTTTTCCTTAGAAAATGATAGAGACAGGAAGTGTGAATGGAAAGACAGTATGTATAATCAGCACAGCTATTTACACAGAGCTCATCAAAGCCTCCAGGCGTCTCAGAATAACCAGCCCTTTAGTATTGCTCTTAGGGGGTGGACACTCCCCAGCCCTTTCCATCAATGCTGGTTAAGTTCTCCCTCTCGTCGTCTTCTGGCCTCTGCAGGGAGAACATTGCCAATGTGCTGTAGTTGTAAAGGGCCCTCCAGATGTTTGCTACTGTCGCTTGTAATTTTGGGTAGCTGCACAATATACCACTCTGACTAGCCATTCCCACATTTTATAGCCAGTTAAGCCGTTATTACAGATTTCTTAAGTATTGAAAACTGGAGACTCTATGTTATATCTAACTACCTAGCATATCTGGTCACTTATTTGCACAATGAATTTTTTTTTTTAGTGCAAACTATATGCCAGATAATGTGTTGGATGCTGGGAATGTGTGATCTTTGGCTGCTCACGTACACTCACACTCACACTCCTATGAGGCAGAGCAGTGCAATGACACGTTTAATTCAGTTGTATATCAAGCATTGGCTCAGGGAGGAGGGTAGGGAAGGGATCCCTTCTACAGGGCTGAGTAGAAATTCTCCCATCTCCCACCGCCTGAGCCACCCCCCCTCTGCCAGTGCAGTCCCAGCCCAGGTGAGTTCTCCTTGCCATCCCTGGGCACTTAGGATTTCTTTTTCTTCCCATGTTGTCCTCCTTGTTTTCCTCTCCTTGTCCTCACTACTGGGAACGTTCCTGCTGCCTCTCTCTTCCCTGGCAGCCTCGTTCCAGCCCTTTTCCTTCCTGGCTGCACTTCCCTTTGGAGTGCATGATGCAGCGCTCTCATGGACAGTGGCAGGAAGGAAGAAGGGAGCAAGCCTAAAACTGCCCTTTCTGATAAAGGACCCACCGCCGCCCTTTAGGCCATATCCCCAGTGCAGTCAGCCTTTCACCTTGCCCCACTACCACTACGGGCGCACTCCAGAACCATGGCCCACAAAACTAAAGCCCTCATACTTTTCCCTTCCCAAGATGCTGAAAACCCTCCGTGTGTGTGTGTGTGTGTGTGTGTGTGTACAAATCATACAGAAAACAAATGTCTTAAGTTTACAACCTGATGAATTGTCACAAAGCGAGTACATCTATGTAACCACCACCCAGGTGGAGAAATAGAACATGGCACCCTAGAAGCACCCCTCCTATTCCTTTTGCTGTCATAGCCCTCCTGTCCAAAGGAACCAGATGTTTGCTTTGCTTGCTTGCTTATAAACTTTATGCAAATAGAGTAGATGATGGAAAACCAGCCTGGTTTGGGAAGTGTCCCCTATTGATGGCTGGCAGCTCAGGGTTCCTGCCTCTCTCCAGCCTGCCCCCCCCCCCGCCCCCACCTTCCCCTGGTTAGTCCCTGATCCGCCCGAGGACCTGGTTCCAGAGCTTCGGCCATGGCCATGAGGAAGTCTTTCCATCGTGGCCAGTATGGAGGAGGCTGTGTTGTTGGCTTCCAGAGCCTGGTTCTGAGTGAAGGCTGCTTCCCTGAAAGTGCCTCCTGAGAGGGATTTCTCATCTAGTCTACTTCTTGAGCAGAGTAGACTGGCGTGTGGGGAGAGTGCGGTTTTCTTTAGAAAAATGCCTGGGCCTTTGGGACTCACAGAGGCACTGTCTGAACCTGCAGATTGCCAGGGGGTCACACAGGGTCAGGCAGTCCCCATGTGTCTTCATGTATGATGTTGAAAACAGCAGATTCTGGGTCCTGGGACCCTGCACTACTGGCTTCCGCTCCTGCTCTCAAGTGCCAGTTATTCCGGAGACTGCCCAGCAGACTGGGGGGTTGCCATCAGCGTGGTCACACAATCAGGGTTTCTGCACTTCCTGTCCCTCCGTATCTCCTCCCCCACCCCCACCCCCACCCCTCTTTCCTCCTGTTCCTAGATCTTGAGTAGGTCTTCCCGCCTGAGACAGGATTCCACTCCTGTCCCCCTGCCCCCACCTCCAGCAATTCTTCCTGCTAGTTTTCTGTGGCTCAGATTAAATGTCATGTCCCCTCCCCAGTTCCTCAGTTATCCTCTCTCAAAGCACTTTCTGTTTCAGATGTAGGAAGAGTCTTCCCCATCAGGCTGACAGTGTCTCTGGCGGCTTCTGGAAGGCACAGACCCAGTTGTTTTGTGCACTGGTGCCTGGCACACAGTCCATCCGTGTTCATTAAATAAATGATAATGTGAAGCAAGAGGCTGAGACACATTTTAGGGTTGCCTTTGTTTATAATGTGCTGTGTGACCTTGGGTATTTATTCACTTGACCTCTCCTAGAGCCCCATCACCGCTCTGTGAAATAATTAACTAGACTTGGAAGATCCCTTGTACGTTTTAAGTTTTTCTGACATGGCCCTGTTTGGGGAGGTGCTCTGAAAACGCAGGACGGCCTTGGCATCGCAGTTTAACTGACCTCGTAGTCAGTTACCTGCCTGTGCTCTCAGCGTAAGAGCTCACTCAGTGCTCCCGCTCCAGCGTAGCCTGTTCCGAGCTAATACTGTAGCTTACATTTGCTTTTATTTTGCTTTTCCTGCGTCACGGACATTTATTTTCTGATTTGTCTTCCATTAGTGTGCCTCTTGGGGACAAGGTTCGTGTGTCATATGTTTTATATGCCCCTCCACTTAGAATAGCATCTGTTACGTGGTAAATAGTTAGGTGTTTGTTCATTTGAGTTTATGAAAGAGATCTGCATTATAGAGAATATTACTGTCATTGACATTGTGCTCCAGGAAGTGTAGCTACTAGGTGATTGTACAGATTAAATCTAGTTTGTGACTAGTATAAAGGGACTCTTTCTCACTTTCTTTAACTTATTTATGGCTTACTTCCTAGAGGATGTATAGAGGCTAAAAGAAGTAGAACACTGCTTGGTTTAACCCAGGTGAAAAGTTAGGTAAAGGAGCGTCTGGGGCTTCTTATGATTCAGTTATGCTCGAATAGTCACTGTGATGTAACTCTAGCTGCGAATTACCTCCAGAGGCAGTCAGAGAGAGCCTGGTGAGTGTCTGGCTCTTATAGAATGTGCTGGCCAAAGCTTGGGCATTGCAGTCAGGTGGGCCAGCATTTTTGGATTCATTCCCCAATATTTTGGGGCCTTATTTCCTCATCTGTAAAGTGGGGATGACATTGGTTCACCAGAAAGGTTGTTGTGATGGGCTAATTGGTAGAAGCCAAGTCCTTGGCTTAGTTTCAGGCACACAGTAAACTAAACATTAAGTGAATACTGGCTACAATCATATTACGGTTATGTTTTTACTTTGGGCATTGTTAAAAATCTTTTCCTGGAGGATTATGACTTATTGCGCCAGATTTGAGTGAACTCCTTCTGACACCTACTCCCGGCCTGGACAGGCTGCAGAAAGTTAAGCCGTGGTGCCGAGAAGGGAGGAAAGACTCCCTCAGAGATCGGAATCTCTGAGTTTCAGCCCGAGCTCCCTGCTTCTCCAGCCCGTGTGGGTTCGGCCAACTGATTTAACAGCTCTGAGACTGGGTGTCCGCGTCTGCCCGCAGGGATGGCAGTGCTGGCCCTGCGCTCCTGGCAGTTACGGGGAGGAGCTGGAGCGCCCAGTGGGTTTGGAAGCGCTAACATGCTGTGTCTTATGCACGGGTTTGGTTTTGCTCTAGGTTTCATTTCGCTGCAGCCGTGACTTTTTCCAGCCATGACTTTTTGGTTTTACTCATTCGCACCTATTTTAATATAATCCACATTTTTCAACAAATGTGCAATAAATACCCTCATTTAATAGTATCCCCTTGAAGTCTTAAGCTTAGTCTTTAAATCCTACTGTAGCTCAGAGGTTTTACTGCGCCAGGGTGCAGGGTCCCCTCCTCCCCTACCTCCTACTAAGGGGAAGGTATGCGGGGGTCTGGAAGCTGATAGGCGTGGAGTTACACCTAGTAATAATGATTGGATCCCAATCAAAACTATGGTGTTTTAAGGGCTAGTAAGGAAATGTCCACGCCTGCTGATCTCTAGTCTCTAAATTACACTGTGAGCATTTGGAACAGGTGTTCTCTCTCCAGGGTCGCTGTGGCTTTCCTAGTAACAATCCACCTGGGAAAAGGAGAAAGGCAGAGAATGCGGGGAACTAGCGTCCGTGGCATGGCAAGGGGCCTGTGGGATCTGCTTCCTCCACCTGCCCGCACAAGGGGGCAGGGAGGCCACTTCGTGGGTGGGCTTCTCCGCATCTGGTTTGAGCCCATCCCCCTAAACTGCCAGGTGTTTTGCGTGGAGAGCTGGCTGTCTACCTCGAAGCCTCACTAATCTTGTTTTGTATACCACTTACTGTCAACTACTTCATGGTGAAAATAAACGTTTTGTACAGAGGTTTCTGGGCTTTAGCAGAAGGTCTAGTATCTAAGCAGGTGTGTACATGTCTGGAAGTGGAGATAAGCAGCTGCAGAAAGGGGATTATCAAAGTGCCAGTTCAGAGAAAAATGTTCTTTTGTCACTGGGGACACAGCGGTGGGTTTTAAGCAGACATATTTTGTAAAATAAGAATGGCTAATTCTCAATCCATGTTCTCACAATTATTGTGCAGTTGAACGGCATAGTAACTGCATTATAGAAGCTACAAGTCCAGAGGAAAAGACATTGAACGGTTCGTTTGTTCTTTTATGCATTTCATCGGGAACCATATTTTACCCTCTTTTAGTTTCTTGAAACATTTCCCAATTTCAGGTTCACTGACACTCTCTGACCATTTGAATAGAAGCTCAGGATTAAAAAACAAGGATTTAGGTCTGAAAATGACAATACATGTATTTCCTAAGATCATGAAACTTAAGAAATGCCATATACTGGGAAAGTTTACCAGTATAGTATCTTGAGTCAAAGGAGGCTTATAAATCTGGGGGTTCCCTACTAATGGGGGTGCAGAATGGAAAGAGCAAGCACTTTGCAACTTTTGCTGTTTTCTTCTGCAGTTTATTTTTGACTAAACTGAGGGAAAAATTGAGATTTGGGGGTGAAGTGGTGGGGAGTGAGGGAAGACATGGTACCAGGCAAGTATGTGGACTTTGAAGTCATAGTGGCTTAGGGTCAAGTGCATCCTTTTAAAATTTATTAGCTGTGTGACCTTGAGGAACTTAGTTAACCTCTCTGAGCCTCAGTCACTGCATTTGCAACACCCTTAATAGGCTTATTGAGGTGATTAGAATGCTAAAATAAAGCCTTTCAACCCTGTAAATGCAGGTAACATCATTGTTGTTTTCTTCCTGTCTTTTCATTTATCCATCAAAGACTGTGATACGGTGGGCCCAGAAAAACTATTTTTAATGGGCATCCGGTAATAGAGTTCTAATGGTCCTCAGACCACAACTTCAGAAATGCTGTCCTTAAAGGGTGAGTAGGAGTTCAGGCATCAAAGGGGAGGGCGGGGCTGTCACTTATGTGCACACACAACTTCTGGGGTACCCCGGCATCATAGCCCATGTCCACGGAGCACCTGATGTTGGGGTGCTGACCTGCAAGACTACAGGCAGTGAGCTTGGGGGCTTTGCAGAGAGTAGTGTGTGTGTGTGTGTGTGTGTGTGTGAAGTGTGTGCGATAGGCAGGGTGTGCTTGGGACGCCGAAGCTCTCCGCCTCTGAGGGAGCAGGCGGGGTGGGAGACGAGGGAGCAGGCAGGGTGGGAGATGAGGGAGCAGGGTGGAGCCACCGAAGGGCAAACAAAGCCATGATTAAACCGTGCCGATGGCCACATGAGGGATGTGCTGAGAGAGACTGCAGGCAGGTACGATAATTGGGAGAAAGTTAGACTCAGCCAATCAGGTGAGAGCCAGTGGGAGAGGGAGAAGGAAAAAGAGAGGAGAGAGCACTTGAACTGAAGCAGGAACAGTGCATGTTGAGAGGGGACAGATAGGAGAGGTGTGCAGGGGGAGGCTCAGTGACCCCTGGTCTCAGGCCCCTGGAACTCAGAGAAGAGACCTGAGAAGGAAGTGACTGTCTGGGATCTGAAGCCTTGGTGAGAAGGCAAGCACCAGGGCAGTGAGGAGCAGTAAGGGGAGGGCGCATAATGTGATTTGGGGTCGTCGGTCCCCAGGAGGGAGAAGGAGTGCGGGAAGAGAGGGGAGGCCCTTGAGACGGGCCGTGGGAGCAGACCGGGTGAGAGGGGCCTGGAAGCCACAGAGGAGCCTGGAGGACAGGAAGAGGTCACAGATGCTTCGGGTCTGCCGGGCAGGGGTCACTGGCTCCTCTAGCTGAGTGGTTTCGGTCACACTGGAGAGCGGAAGGCAGACGGCTTTGAGTCTAGGCGAGAATGGAAAGGGGGAATGTGGGACGGAGTTCTCCTGGGAGCCGGGCTGGAGGAGGGCGGAGAGGGTTCAGGCAGTGGCGAGGATGGCACACAGGCCCGGGGAGGGACCTCTTGGTTGCATGGGAGCTCGCCGAGCCCTTCATTTCTCAGGCGAGCAGACGCTGAGGGGAGAGGCCAGAGAAGCAGAGCGAGTAGGCCTGGGAGAGGTTTTCAGAGGGAGCCAGGTGGAGGGGCTGGAGGCCGGTGCAGGATGGGCTGTTAGGACTGTCCTCCGGGAGGCAGCTGACGGCTGGGCAGGGACATGCAGTTCGGTGAACGGGGATCGTGTGCTAGCGGCTCCTGGGGGTGTACCAGGACCAGGGGTTCAGGGGCACACTCAGTAAATCCCCCATATATGTGCAGTTTGCACTCAGGCCATGGAGACTGAGGCGGGGCAGGAAGAGCATTGAGGGGTCGGGGGAGTTCTTTGGTCTGCAGCGTTTTTGGAGAAACAACGCAATGATTATTTTGAAGGTTTTCAGGATTATGTACAAAAGTAGTATCAGTTTCTAAAACTGGTTTTCTTTTCTTGTCTAGTGAGGATCACATCGCCTCTTCAGGAGACACAGGTATGGCACTCTAAGTCAATGCTTTCGAAAAACTGAAACATTTGCAGTTGGGAAAATAATTTCTTCATTAACTTCACTTACTGGTTGCAGTTGCTTTGTTACGATCATGCAATCACTGACTTGTGAAATGTATTAACATAATCTGTCGGTGAGGGCAATGGGATATGACACTTGTTTAGACTTTTAAGATTCTTTTTCAACAGATATTTTAAAAGATGACATGTAAAGAATTTGGGCCTTTGTAACTTTTCACAACTTGATAATAGAATGCAAATGCTCTTATGGCTCATTCCTTTTAAACTCGTGAGTCTAAGGTTTTTAACTTTATTTCAGATTACTTATAAGTTTAGCGAAGTGTTATTATCAACTGAATTGTATAAATTTTCCATGCATAAAAAACTAGGTGTTACCTTTAATACCCGAGTGTGATCCTCAGTTGTATACACTTCATGAAAATAGCAACACACTTCTCTCCCTGAGTCCGGGCCAAATAAAAACTCTCTTGGGAGAGGAATAAACTGGGCCCACACCTGAGTTTGGAGGTGGGCCGCTGGGGGTTGAGTCCTCTTTTTGACCAGAGCTGCTCGTTTGGAAAGTCTATAAACCCTGTGTGGGGCCGTATTTCTTTCGTTGGCCCTTTCTCTCTGCTCGACGCCACGTGGCCGAGGTCCATTCTGGAGGCCACAGTGGTTCTGAGACCACCATAGGTGGTGCTCTGTGTCATTCCTCACTTCGCTTTTGGCCCCGTTTCTGTCTGCCCGAGCTGCTTCTCTGTTCCCTCTGTTCACGTCCGGGGTTTGTTTTGTTTCAGCTCAGCCAGACTCATGAGCTTGTGCTGGAGCCCTGGTCTTCAGTGATCAGTCTTGGTTTCTCTCTTGGACCAGGAAAGTATTGGCCTAATTTCGTCTTGTATCGTGATTTCTTGCAGTGATTTGTCTAATGCACAGCTACTCCTTGCCCTCACGACTGCAGTAACCCATAAGCTGTTTTCCGGGGCATGGATTTCCTCCTAATTCTGCAGAGTGCCTGTCACACAGTCGGAGGCACTAAGTCACTGTTTGTAGAATTGAGGGGACAGTAGCCTTTGCCCGAGCCCAGAGCAGTGTGTCAGCGAGTCACGAAGCCTCTGTCACTCTCCAGCCCAGTGGGGTGGATGTTCCAGCTGCAAGGGAAATAGAAGACTGCTAGGCCCTGGTCGTTGGGGCAGCCTCGTTGAGTGTGGCATAAACAGAGGCACAGGGCGTGGTGACCAAGGAGCAGTCCCTTCCCTGCACAGAGATGTTCTCGCTTTAGTTAACACTGGAGGTAACACTGGAGGTGCAGCCCCCTTCTCCTTCATCTGTAGCAGCTTCACTCCCGTGCCCACTTACCCTGGCCTAGACTCTCTCCACTTCACACCTGGGTCTCGGCGGAGGCAGCTCAGTGTGAGGTGCTCTGGAGTCTAATCCATGCTGAGCATCAGAGCCCGCCAGTAGCCACCAACACTGGGGACCACGGAGACCCACTGCAGCTGAAGCTCTTGTGACACCTGCATCTTCATGTCTTTCCCTGTCGGAGAACCGTCAGGGCTGCCAGGTCCTGCTGGCTTCAGAGTCCTGGCTGTAGCCCGTTTGTGTTTGCCTGGTACTGGAAGCCCCATTGTCTGCCCTTCAGTTACCAAATCTGGAAACCAGGTGCTTTTTTTCTTTTTAGTGTCAAGTTATGCAATTGCCAGGGATGTTTTTAGGGCGCTGCTGAGCTGATCAAAGAAACAATACAGCTAATTTGGCACAAAGTTCAGACTTTATCAAGCAACCAACCTAATGTAAATCTTAATCTCAAGCTCGTTGGCTTTCTCTTCTCCCTCGGCTTGAGGTTTCTTGGTCTAAATCTCTCTTTCCCCTGAGAGTAGGGCATCGTTTGCGTCAGTTTGACATGCAAGGCTGCTGTCGGGTGTAAAGAGGTGATTTAATTTATAGCAGAGGGTGCTTCTGCCGTTGTTGGTTTAGTGGCTTTTACTGAAAAACAACACAGTGTTTTATTTTATGCTTGTTTTTACATTCTTAAACATTTCTTTCTCTCTCAACATTTAGATTGCCCTAGCTCCAACCCCGATACTTCAAAGGACTCTAAATCAGGTAAGGGATATGACTCATATTGGTAAATGCCCCAGTGAAATTTTTATAAAATAATCAATTCATAGCATGATAAATTAAAGTTTATTTTTCTGATTCCCTGCAAACAATCTGAGTAAAAGGTAGGGACTTTTGTCTTTCTATTTGAAAGAGTTGACTAAATTTTAAAGTTTTATGATGACCTATTCTCATGAAATTAATCACTTTAAAGCTGTACTTAGTGAAACTGAGAATTTACCTGATGAGGCAGTTAGGTCATTTTTAGACTGGCCACTCTAACCTAGCACAGTGTCCTCTGTGAGCCCAGCTGGGTGGTAGACACTTGGCTGGGGTAGCCTGGGGGGCTTCCCAGAGGAGGTGGTAAGTTGGGGTCACAGGGCAGAAGCGGGGAAGAGTTGCCTTAATTCAGGAGACTCGCAGGTTGCACAGGCCCTGAAGTGGGGAAGTGTACAGCGCTGCTTCCAGAGTCTGAAGCAGTAAGATGATTGGGACCAGAGAATAGAGGCTCTGCCTCCAGAGCCGTCCCTTGCACAGATATAGGAAGGGTTTAGTGCTTTGGGGTCACAGAAGTTTAGGAATGAGTGTGACCGATTAGTGAAAACAGCTAAAGGAGCGCCGGTTGTGTGCCAGGCCCTCAGCTGGCCACTCTTCACAGACGGGTCTCCCTGGAGCCCTGCAGGCGGAGTCTGGGGACCGGTTTCCAGGCCGTGGGGAGGCATCTCTGCGGGCTTGGAGGAAGGAGTGGCAGTCATCCGTCCCGGGTGTGAGTTTGGGAAGAGGGACGGGACTGAGATGGGTTGATTCTAGAATCAGGGCTCTCAACCGTGCTGGAATCGTCAGGGGCCTTACATACATTGGGATGGTTACACACATTACATACATTGGACACATCGAATCCTCATACATTGGCATCATCAGGGGGCCTTAAAAAACACTGCTGTGTAGGCCTCGCCCGAGACCAGCTAAATCAGGACCTGGGAGGAAGGACTGAGTCCCAGGCACGGTGTGTTTAGAGAGCTCCCCAGGTGGTTCCAACGTGCAGCCAAGGTTGAGACCACCGCCCTGTGCTGCCCGCCCCCGGGCACAGGGCCATTGCCTTGCTTTCCCACCTCCGTCCGCACAGTGACTGCCTCCCTTCCTCTCAGGCGTCTGCTCGCCCTCTCCCCCCACATCCCACGAGTCTGCACCTCCTGGGGGTGGCACTGCCTCAGTAACGATAAGCATGCGTGTAAGTGTAACCACGTGGTCAGGAATTGGAAGCTCGGGTCAGACTGCCTGAGGGGAAGTGCTCGCTCCGGACTTCCTGGGCTTGCACAAACTGGCTCCAGCCGTCTCATCGGGCAGTTCTGAGCGTGCATGCGTGAATATATGCAAAGCGCTGCCACAACTCCATGTAGATACATATGTAAAATGAGTAAATTACACATAAATGATTAAATATATGTACAATGCCTGTTACATAGTGAACACTCTAAAAGAGCTTCAATTAGCTGCTCTTATGATGGTCCTCATGATTCTCAAATCTTTTCATTCCTCCGTGTACCTATTGCCAGGCCTGGGTCTGGTCGTGTGTAGTTCTGTGTAGCGAGGGAAGATGGGAGAATAGTGCTGATAGTCTTCCATGTCTTTGCTCATTGACTCCTGATCCCGAGGAGGGTGAGGCTGCATGGGGAGGACTCATCCATCTGTTCTGGAAGAGTGACAGTCTGTCCCTCTCCAAGAGACGACACCAGGCGTGGGGGCGAAGGAGACACTACTGCCGCCTGCCCCTGACAACCTGCAGCTCCGCCCCACGCCCTCCCTCTTGTGTGTCACCCCTTCTAGATCTCCATTGCCTTATGGGCTAAGCCAGGAGAGGCCCAGGGTGCCCCCCACCCCGGGGAAGGGGAGGCTGAGTTGTAGCTTTGGGGGTGGGGCTCTCAGTGGAAAGGGGAGGGGGTGTGGGGCCACAGGCATTGGTAGTGGGGGGTGGGAGGTGGAGAGGAGCCTGGAGGCGAGTGGAGGGCACTCAGGGAGGTAGGAGGGAGCCTGGGGTGGGCGGGCCTTTGGGGACCGCAGGGAAGATAGCCCAGACTCATTGTCTGATTGCAGTGGGAGGAGGAGCTGCTGCACTGGGGGTGGGGGAGTGAAGGGAGCATTCTTAGGGACCACTTTTTTCAGTAGTAACTGAGCAGTGTGGACTGAGTTTGTCCTCTGCATCAGTGGAGTGGCATCCATACTCCAGGAGACTGCACTGTTGTGTCATTGAACTTGTGCCCAGGAACCTTGTACGAGTGCAGGGGCAAGATGGGAAGCAGTCGGGGCAGGTCAGGGCCGGGTGGGACTTGGGTGACACCCATATAAACTGACTGCAGGCAGAGTGTGAGCTAAGATCCCATTTAAATGTTTCTTTTATCCATTTCCAACAAAGAATAAGCCCCCTTTTATGTGAACCAGACTAGTCTGGGACTTGAGAGTTGACCATAAGAAGACAGTTGAGTTTTGGATCTACTATAATACCTCTAATTAAAGCAGCCCCTACTTTTTCCTCGCTGTGTACTTGACTGGCCTGTTTTCATTCAGGGGACGACAGCAGTTCTGAGAGCGGTGCTGAAAGTGACTCTGGTGAGTAGCATGTGCGTCTGTTTCAGTAATTCAAGCAAGACACACACACCTTGATTTTTATTTTAAAGTAATGCACACGCCACGTATTACTTGAGGACATGTTCATTTCTAGCACGGTCTTGTGAAGTACTGAAAAAGCACTTACACGGGAATTAATTCGAGTTGGCAAGCGAAGTGGCAAAACAGGATGAGCTCGAGAAGAAAGACAGGAAATGGTTGCCGTTGGTGAAAAGCAAACATTGTACCTATTCTCCCAGGAGCCTGTGTTTTCTTAGTGGTCATGAGTCTGACTTAGATCCTTTTTTATTTCATAGATAATGAGGAGCCAGAAACAGAAAACACAAGTGAGTATATGCTTCCTCTGAATTTTGTCTTTTGTTGTTGAAAGGAAGAAAGAGAAGGCAAGCCTTTGGGGTTTTTTAAGTTGCAAGTTGCTTGTTGACGGCCTCTTTCTGTGCAGAACCGAGTTAAACAGTAGGCAGCTTCTAAGCACTTTGAAAATTTGAACTCACTGCCCTTGAGATACAGGGGCTGCATTCTCGGCCCTGATACGAAGTCTCTGCGGGTGAGGTTCTCTGCTCTTACAGTTTCCCCAGGGAGAGGAGATTGAGGGGCCAAATCCAACATGCAGCGCGGCCGCAAGCGGAGCTGGCTTCCTTCCGTGGTTGCTGCTCACAGATTATCGCGGAGCGAACGACTTGCTGCAGACGGTGTTGTTGCCAGTGGTGGTTGGAAGGTTCTGGCTTGCTGTTCTGGTTATCTGTGAGCAGCCTGAGTACGAAACCGCTTTGTCGAAGGACATAGATTCTAGCTACAGAATATGGTTTGCATCTAAAGTTTTATAAGTGACTAAGCTTATATTTTACCTGATTTGATTATACTGTAGGATTTTGTCCCTGTTCTTAGAGTGTGAGCTGCCCATGAACACAGATACCAGGCAGGGCGGTCAGAGGGCTTCTTTGTAACACTTCAGATAAATGAAGTCTCTTCACTCAGAAGTCTTCCTGTGTTTAATTTGCTCTGCAGTTTCCCAGTGGGAGTCTCTGAAGGCAGTTGTAAGCTCCTTGCAGTCCTGTTATGTATTGAGAGAACCTCTAATTACCGTATTTTGCTGGGTATAATGCGCACTTTTTCACCCAAATTTTTGAGGGAAAGGTAAGGATGCGCATTATACGTGGGTAGTACTAACAAAAATTTCTCTGTTCTCATAATTACTTGTTACATAAAATTTCTTGTACTATAATAGGTTCAAAAATAAATGCTAAAATTCCTTTATAATACAAAAAACAAGTATCTAAATAAACAAAAAATTGAACTAAAAAATTAAAACTTAAGATTTTTTTCTGAAAGTTTGGGTCAAAACTGTGGGTGCACATTATACCTGGGAGCACAGTCATACATGGCAAAACCCGGTATCTCTGTATCACCCTCTTGGGGTAGGTGCTGCGTTCTAACTCCCCCAGAACGAGTGAACTAGCCCTCCCACTCCCAGTCCTCTGTGTACATTCATGGATTATTTCACCCTTCAAACTGCAATCGAAAGTCCAGCCTCTATAGATTGGATCAGGGGAGAAATTAAAGTAGAAAGCCGCATATTGGGATCACGTCTTTGTTGTCTCTGGCTAAAAGGTAGAAGGCCTTTTACCTTTTACTGGGTAAAAGGCCCTGGGGACCGAGTCCAGAGGCAGGACCTCTACAGTCTGGAAGCCAGGTCTGGGCCAGGGCAGGCAACCCAGGTGGAAGGCATTCGGAGTCAGCAAAGCTCCAGATAGGCTCAGAATTGGGTGGCAGGCTGGGGTCAGGGCATGTGTAGGGTGGGGACCAGCTGGCCTTGGCCCTTTGGCTGGGTCAGACGCCTCAGTGTCCTTTGGCAGAGAAAGTGCTCTGACATCTGTGGGCAGAGGATGCTTGTTCTTAGTGCCCCAGGTTTGTGCAAAGGGCCCTGCCCCCCCCCCCCCCCAGGGTTACTGTATTTGTGAAAAGGCCTGTTATTCTCCACACTGGTCAGATGAGGGGGAGGGGGGCCACCCCCGGGATGCTTGCCTCTGTGTGGGCTGGCTGGGTTTGCAGCCCACCCATCCTCCTTGTGATTGGATGTGACCCTACTCGCAAGCCTGAGCCCTGAGATCCTCTGAGTCAGGTAGGTTGAAGAGAAGCTGTGGTCTACAGGTTGGGGAAAATCGCATCAGTTTCTCTGCTCTGGCTGGGAAGACCTGGTTCAGGACTGTGTTCGCCTGCTGCTTAGGATTTTCTAACCTCTTTTCCTGTTTCTGCTCCCAAGGCAAACAGCGAGGTGGGGAAACCTGGGCTGGGGATAAAATACAGTGTAGATGTCATGGCATTAAATAATTTAGAATTTAATGATCCTTTAAAGACAGTGGCTGAGGAAATTTAGTTGGTGGGTGTGGGGGGCAGTATTTCAGGGGCTTTTCATCTATGGTATTCTGAGTCCAGGATCTGGATACTTTCAGTCCCCCTTTGCCATTCATGGTATTGCCATGATTGAAGTTGGGTCTCTCCTGCAACTCTGCTCCGGGGACCCCAACTGCTCTGCTGGTCCAGACATCAGGCAGCTGGTGTGACGGGGCTGGAGCTCCGCCCTGGGGGAGGGACTGCACCTTCTGGGCACTGGTGGCAGAGGGCATAGGACCTTACCCACATGTTGAGTGTCTGTGCTACCCCTAGGGCAGGGGTGTCAGACTCATTTTCACTGGGGGTCACATCAGCCTCAAGGTTGCTTTCAAAGGGCCGAATGTAATTTCAGGACTGTATCAATGTAACTACTCATTAACAGTTGAGAGAGAGCTGGGCACTGCTGCCAGGTAGAAGCAAGGTGCAGGGCTGGATAAAACAAGGCGGAGGGCTGGATTCAGCCTGTGAGCCTAGTGTTTGCCACCTGTACCCTAGGGTAACCCTCCAAAGGTTGCTCAGATCTTTAAAGTGTAAAACCAAGCATTTGACCCCAGGTGATAAGCTTGTTGTCTGCTTTAGAATTCTTGAGTTTTTCAGTGATTCCTACCCATCACCAAAGCAAAAAGTAGTTAATAATGGTAACCCACACCGAGGGCTTGCAGAGTGCCAGGCGCAGTCCCTGCCTGTGAGTAACATTCCTGACTTTGTGGGGGTGGTGCTGTTTTAATCCCCGTTTAACAGATGAGGAATAAGTGAGGCACAGGGAGGCGTAGGCACAGAACTAGAGAGCCCAAGGTCATGTACCAGAGGCCAGTGTAGATACCAGGAAAATGCAGCCCTGTTCCCACTGATAGTATACTTTCTGGATTATGTTTTTCTGGCCATTCAGAAAACAGTCATTGAGCACCTACCAGGCCCTAGCGATACAGTCCTCAGAAAGCGTGCATTCCAGTGGGGAGACAGCCAGGAAGCAGAAATGCTAAAACGTAGAGTGCCAGCGTGGGGGGGGGGGCGCTGAAGGAAAACAAAGGGGGAAGAGTGAGCCCATCAGCCAGGCCCTGTTTCCGGGGTGCCAGCGGGAAAGCCTCTCAGATAAGGCGACACTTGAGCAGAGACCTCAGAGATGTGAGGGGGTGAGCAACATGATATTTGAGGGAGGAGGTGGACAGCGCCAAGGTCCAGAGTCAGGCGTGTGCTTTGGTGTGGAGAAATGGCCGGAGTGAGTGGAGGGCCATCCCTGTGGTTAGGGGGAGGGTGGGCTGGATCCGGTTGGGCCTCAAGCCCCATGGGAGGAGTCTACATGCCGAGTCAGAGTCTCCTACAAACTGTATCTCACCTCAGATTTCAGTTGATGCCTGAAATCAGATGTCATTCCCCCTCTAGTGACAAGCTAATCTCTAACTCTGTAATGGCCTGGAGAGCTGGTGCCAGCCAAGCCTTATCTTGGGGATGACTCTAGCTTAGTTCCTGACTCCGAAGTGCACCACCTGAGAAGCAGGCTTGGGTGAGGAGTAACTAGTGCCAGATCGTTCAAGGGCACCTGTGCCTTAAACCCTTCTTATCTCCGCAGATGGGGAATTGGGAGAGTCTTCCGCCAAGGGCGCCTCCTGCCAGGGTAAGAGCAAGGCATTGTGCTCGCCCTCCTGTTTTGTCTGATTCACCTTCTGCTCCCTGCTGCACTGTTAGAGGAGGACCGGGGGGTCAGGTTGAAGGATGAGGAGAGCCATGGCTGCTGTATTCAAACATCAGTTAAAAAATTATGGGCCAAAATGGAGTGGGTTGAAGTTTGAGTCACATTCAAACTTATTTTCATGCATTAGACCTCCAGTGCGATTCACAGATATGCTAATGTGCCATGTGCTTTTGAATGGACTCACAGAGATGTTTAAATCCAAGTGTAAAGTTCCCATTGGTGGCGAAGCTGAAGGTATGTGTTTAAGTAGCAGGTGATTTACCCTGTGATTGCCTTGTGCCAATATGTGTGCAATGGTGTCTTTAACAGCTGAAGAATGGGAGAGTAAAGAACTGCCCACATGTCATATAAATTCAGGTATGGACTTCGGTTTTCCAGAACTTCCTTTTAAATATCATTGTTGCTGAAGGGCAGATGCCTTTGGGTTTTATAATCTGGGTATATCATATGTATTTATTTTAAAGTTTTCTAGAATGGCAATCACACTGATATAAAGTAAACCTTTTCTCTGTTATTTAGAATTCCTTAAAATCGAACCTCACTGTGAACACTGTAATGCTGAAAATGTAAGTATCTTATAATTATAAAATATGATTCTCTAACTTGCTATATTTAAGAAAACATTTATGTATGTGTCACTTATATATTACATATGTACTTTTTCTCCAGAAACACAATGAACAAGTGACGCCCAGACTTCTTTCTAAAGGACAGTTTTTGTAAGTAATTGTGACTACAGTAGGCTTATCATCATCACTAACTTAATTTTCTGCATGAATATAACTCCAGTTAGGAGAGACAACAAGACAGCATAACTCATTTCACACATTTCATGTAATTACTTGGATTGGTTTCTTTGATAACGACGCTTCTTCAAAATGTTATAGAGTGTCCTGAATGCTTTTGAATGAAATTAGAAACATAAATGATTTTAGGAAGTCCTCTCCTAGCTGAACATTAGGACTGAACAGGTGTTCGTATCTGTCCAATGCAGACTGAAGCTGGACTCGGAGGGGACTTACGAGTGCACAGAAACTGGTCTGATATTCGAGGTTAACAGAAAGGTCGACATAAAGTATTGCGTTTTGTCCTGGAGCACGTACGCAGACCTGGTGGTTAAGCCCTGGGTTGTCGGGGGACCCTTGTTTGATGTGAAGTGTGACCCAGCTGCTCTTACCTCCATTGAGTTTCCACATTTCCTCTGCCTGGGTCGTAAGTACTTGTTTGCTGAAATTGTAATGACTGTGTGCACGTGTGTGTGCACCACCCCTGTGACACCTGCCACACTAATTTACCTTCATGTGTTTACAGACCATGATGCCAATATGATGTTCAAAGTCTTACATGTTCAGAGTTCCGGGGCCTCATTGGAATGTACTGTGGACCATTCTGCAAGCCATGTCAAGTGGCACGTGAGCTCTCTGTCTCCCGTGGGACCTGTCATTCAAAGTGAAGGAACGTTATTCCACCACGGGGCTGTGATTCTGTACAAAGTCGTCGACCAGAATCCATCCTTGTCTTTTCGCGTGTACGTAGTAACCAATAACAACTCCTTCGTCCAGGTAAAGCCAATAAGCATGAATCACAACTGTTGATTACTTTGTGTTCAAACATGGTGCCACATTTAGGTGCGGGTCTCGTCTCTGTTCAGTACCCCCAGCTTGGGTCTGATTTGCCACTTACCTGCAGGGGTGAGGTCCTCAGTGCTAGGTGGGCCCCGAGTCCTCAGATCCACGGAGTGTGGTTGTTTGTATGTGCAAAGACATCAAGAAGACCTCAGATGGGGAGATAGCTCTGCAGAGGTGGGGTTGGCCCAGGCAAGCAGGGCTGGCCTTGGAGAGGGCTGCCTGGTGGAAGGCCAAGCCCGGCGATTTTCTATAGCACCGCTACTCAGAATGGGGCCTGGGCACTGGGGGACCAGGATCTTTGGCATCGGCAGGGAGCTTGTAAAAACTTTAGTGCACTCTCAGCCCCATCCCAGCCCTACAGAATCCAAGTCTGCACCTGGCAGGAATCCTGGGGGATTCGTGCATATTTTAGTGTGAGACGCACCTGTTCCAGAATATACTGGGGAGACTTTTGAGGTCTTTGGGTCAAATATAGGGCGACTTGCAGTTTCTCCTTGGCCTGAAGATCCTGAGATAAGATGGGCCTCCTAGGTTAATTCATTTCTTTCAGAGCAATGTTTTGGGTAAAAATTGACGTATAGTTCATGGGTTCAGCATTCGGATTTTATAACAGTGAAGATCCATAAATCACCTATTTTTCTTCAGGGAAGAGGAGGGGGTTTGAATATTCACAGTGGTTCAGTTTTCCAGAATGTAGAACAAGGCTGTGATACGTAGCCCCTTTTCTGAATTCCTACATCAGGTAGAATAGTCTGAAAGAGTTACTGACTCAGAGGTAATCGCGCCTCCTTTGTACTTTCCAGCCGCTGTCGGCTCACTGGTAATAATGCCGTGGTGGTGAGTGGAGAACAAATAAGCAAAGCGGAAGGAGGAGACAGTGACTCAAACTTATACTTTCAGTTTTCAGATCAGGGTTTGACGTCAGTTAAAAGTATAAGCATTAAAAATACAAAAACCAGAAAATAAGCATTCGATTTATAATAGAATGTGCTGAGTGATGGGTTCTAGTTTGCGTTCCAGAATTTACACTGAACTGTCTGCTCTCAATGTTTTAGGCTGTAGTATTTCCTCATCTGTAAAAATATAAGTTATACTCATTAGAAATATCAATATATGTGAAAGTTTAAACACTTTAGTAAGTAATAGGTTTTCGGTTTCTTCCTAAGAAGGTAAAATCTGTTTCCTATAATCTCACTAAGGTGACATGTTCAGTTTGGAAGCTGGTCTTCAAAATGGTATAAAAACAATCTCATCTAAAGTATAATTAGCATAGCTTTGGAGTAAACACTATTATTTATTTATTTAAGGATTTTATTTATTTTTAGAGAGAGGGGAAGGGAGGGAGAAAGAGAGGGAGAGAAACATCAATGTGTGGTTGCCTCTCACACGCCCTCACTGGGGACCTGGCTTGCAGCCCAGGCATGTGCCCTGACTGGGAATTGAACTAGCAATCCTTCGGTTCACATCCCGTGCTCAGTCCACTGAGCTACAGTAGCCAGGGCTGGAGTAAATACTATTATTTAATAATAGTATTAAATAATACTATTTAATATTAGTATTAAATACTAATTTATAGTATATAAATTAGTATTAGAGTATAGAGAGTATATACTCTCTATATTTTAAAAATGAGTGCTGTTAGTTCATTAAAAGGGCATCATCACCCCTGCTTTCGGGAAGCTGGGGCAGGAGCGTGAGGTGGGCGGGAGGCCGGGAGGGAGGGAGCGCAGTCCAGAGAAGGCAGCCTGTCCTTCCAGGGGGGTGTTTGATGCTGACACTCCTCTTCTTGGGCTGATTTTTTTTCCCTGTGCAGGAAAAGATTTTCTTGGACTTTGCCTTCAGGAAACGTACATTTCATGCCAGCTGTGCAGCCACTTTTCTAAGAGAATCTGGGCCAGAGGCCACTTCAGCCTCTTTGGGCCATTCGCACAGTTCCTGCAAAGTCCGTGTTCCCTCTGGAGCCACGTCAGAGGGGTGGCTGTGAACCTAAGGATGGAGACGAAGTGCTGGGCAGAAGCAAACTGAGTACACTGGAACTGAATTCAGTAGAATAGTTGCCTTCTGTCCCCACAGTGGGCATGCAATTACGGCAAATGTATAATGCTGGCGCTAACTTAGTTTTCTCACATCCTTCCGAAGCAAGCGGTTGGTGCCCCACAGGCTGTTTGTGTTGCTTTTGGCCGCAGGGTTTTTTCGGAAGATGTGTGGAGACCTGGGAGGCTACAGTGCACCTCCGGGCACCCGGGCCTCGGGCATTTCCTCGGGAGCCCAGCCGGAGTGAGCCAGCCTGCGCTGCCACTGCGTGGGAGGGGATGAAGACCGTGCGGCCTGGCCCTGCACGGCTCGGTCTCTGTTTCTTACCGTGGCTGCTGGTGCAGGTCTAAACCAAGCCTGTCTCCATCCGCAGGATATTTTCACATCTGTAAAGAAGTCCGCTAAGAAGTTCATGAAGATCGACAAGCCTCCCGTTTGCCAGAAGCCATTGCAGAGTGGGAAGAAGTACCGACTGATGAGCGAACCCGAGGCCGACATCACCCCGGAGGTCTGTAATCTGAAAACCTCCCCTGCAGTGTCGGCGGGGATGTGTGTCTCTTAGCTGTGGTCTTTCGAAGATCTCAAAAGGATCCATTTTGTTCTCATTTTTAATTTCTCGTTTATACGGAAACAGTTGTTTTGCTCATCTTGTAGCTCGTTCCAAAGATGCTCTTGAATTTAACAGTTAGTCTTCAACCGTTGGAAAGGTAGATCAGTCCATCATTTCCCTTTTAAAAGGTTTTACGTTTTCTTGAATGTTTTTTTAAAATGTATTTTATTTATTTATTTTTAGAGAGAGGGAAAGGGAAGGAGAAAGAGTGGGAGAGAAACATCAATGTGTGGTTGCCTCTCATGTGTCCCCTACTGGGGACCTGGCCTGCAACCCAGGCATGTACCCTGACTGGGAATCAAACCTGCGACCCTTTGCTTCACAGGCCCGTGCTCAATCCACTGAGCTACACCAGCCAGGGCTGAATGTTTTATTAAATGCTTCATATAGTGTTAATGTCAAAGGAATAAAAAAACTCAAGTTTAATTTTAAGTTACAGGGCATCAAAGGTTAATGGACAGGAATGGCTAACAAGGGGTTTGGGGCTTTTCTTCCTGGCAGGCATTTGGAAGATAGTTATGGGGACATAGTGTCACTTAGATTTAAACTTTATTGTACACACAGTTGCATTCGTAAGTGATTTCATTTTCTCATAAATGACTAAGTTATTTTTAAAACTTATCTTTATTATGTGCTCCGAATGCGTACCGTAGCTTCACTAGCCTAGACATCTGTGTGGCACTTCCTTTTGTACACCTCTTTCAGTTTCTTTTGTTGTATACAAAAAGTTGACAACATCTTTTGATTCTGTTATAGTGAAATAGGAAGCAAGAGAGAGGGCTAATTGTAATGGTCTGTGTCACATTATTTTATCGTGTTACTGGCGCCCAGTGCCTGTGAAGCAATCAGGTTTGTCAGTCGTCCGTAACTTTTGAACGCAGACTGTCTTGTTCTGTTTCAAAGGGTCTCTTTGTACCCAGTGTCATTTGAGCCTTACAGCAGTGCTGCCGTGGCAGCTAATGTGTGAAGCAGGCAGGTGATCCAGTCACACCCCTGGGCGGCAGGAGAGTGTAGCCCGGAGCCCCAGATGCTCTTGGCTCCAGCGATAATACCAGGGACTTATCACTGATTCTGAGATTGATTCTCAGCCCTTCCAAGCTGATCAAGCTGTAGCAGGTGGAACATCAACACAATCACAAGAAGCAAACTGCAGCCTTGAGGAGGTGGGATTCCATTCGAAGGGTTTGCTCAGGACAATGATTCTTGGCCTTTGCTGCACAGTGGAATTCCCTGAGGGGCTTTGAGGACGTCTCAGCCTGGGTCTTAGCTCCAGAGACACAGACTTCATTGCTCTGGGAGGGGCCCAGGCTTGGTGAAGCTTACAAGGTGACTCGAATGTGCTCCTGTGGTTAAGAAGCACTGAGAGGGAATAATAGATAGTGACTATGTGAATCTGCCCAGAAAGAGACCCAGATGGTCCCAAGTTTTCTCTTACAAAGATGGTGGTGGCTGGGGGACTTCACCAGTCTGGTCCTGTCACGCATTGTATGCGCTCTCTTAACCAAATTTTGGGCATTTGAAGTGGGGATAATCTCCCAGGGTTGCTCAGAGGATCAGATAAGTGGTTTGGGGGCACTCTGAAGTTTGTAAAACTCTGTGTAAGTCTAAGGTGTTCTTATCAATTTTATACCATTAATGATTTGTTTAACTGACATTTATCAAAAGTGTCCGTTAACAAGTAGGCCTGAGATAAAAAAAAAAACCCAAACAGTAAGTCATGAGGTTTTCTCTCCAAAGATGCCAGTGCAGAGGGAGAAATGCCACTTCCTGTAAAATGCTTCCCCATAACTCGGTGTTTCCATCGAAGTGGACCGGTCCAAAGTGCAGTGGGTATTCAGGAAGGTTGCCCACATGGTGACATTGTTCTGGGTTTGGAGGGGGAGGGAGTCACTGGGGGAGGGAACGGCAGTGCTAAGTGAGGTGACAGGAATGTGCGGCCAGGCTCTGGGCACGGGGAAGAGTGGGGACCCAGGGGGGCGTTACCTGGGCTTCATAGGCCCTGGGGACCCTTTGAAAGTTGTGAGGATAATGCTAGTGATTTGGAAGGGAAAGGGAGAGGGACCAGTTAAGGCCATTGGTTTATGATGGCAGGGCCCAGGGAAGGCTAGTGACACACAGGCAGACCCAGGGCGGGTTGTGGGTCATGTTCAGACCAGCACCATAGAGTGAGCATCGCAGCCAAGTGGGCTGCATGTTCTTGGTTTGCCAGTGCGTGTAAGAGTTACGTTTATACTACGCTGTAGTCAGTATTAAGTGTGCGGTAGCATTATGTCTAAAAAGCCACATACATACTTAATTAAAAAGTACTTCCTTGCTAAAAAATTGTTAACCATCAGTGAGTCGAAATATTTTTGCTGGTGGAGGGTCTCGCCTCAGGTTGATGGCTGCTGAGAGATCAGGGTGGTGGGTGCTGAAGGTTAGGGTGCTTGTGGCAGTTTTTAAAAATAAAACGACAGTGAGGTTTGCCACATAGATTGACTCTTCCTTTCATGAAAGCTTTCTCTGTAGTGTGCACTGTTTGATGGCGTTTTACCCACAGTAGAACTTGTTTCAGATTTGGGGTCCGTCCTCTCAAACCTTACTGCTGCTTTCCCAGCTAAGTTTATGTAACGTTCTAAATCCTTTGCTGTCGTTCTGACCATCTTAGCAGCATCTTCACCAGGAGTAGTAGATTCCATCTCAACAAACCACTTTCTTTGCCTACCCACCTCCTCGTTTGTTAAAGTTTCACCATGAGATTGCAGCAATTCAATCACACGTTCGGGTTCTACTTTTAATTCTAGTTCTCTGGCTCTTTCTCCCCATAGCTTTAGTTACTTCCTCCACTGAAGTCTTGAACTCCTCATAGTCATCAAGGAGGGTCAGAATCAACTTCTTCCAAACTCCTGTTAATCTTGATGTTTTGACCTCTTCCCATGGTCATGAATGCTCTCGATGGCCTCTAGAATGCTGAATTCTTTCCCAAAGGTTTTCAGTTTAGTTTGCCCATATCCTTCAGAGGACTCGCTATCTATGGCAGCTATGTCCTTATGATAACATATTTCCTAAATAATAAGACTTGAGGGTCAAAATCACTCCTTGATCCATGGGCTGTAGAATGGGCGTTGTGTTCGCAGGCATGGAAACAACATTCATCTCATTGTGCATCTCCATGAAAGCTCTTGGGTGACTCGGTGCATTGTCAATGAGCGGTAATATTTTGAAGGGAATCTTCCCCCCCCCCCAGCAGTAGGCCTCAACAGTGGGCTTAAAATATTCAGTAAATCATATCATAAACATGTGCTGTCTTACAGGCTTTGTTATTCCATTCCTGTGAAGGATAAAGTAGATTTAGCATAACTCTTAAGGGCCCTAGGATATTTGGAATGGTACTGAGCATTGGCTTCAACTTCAACTCACAGCTGCATTAGCCTGTAGCAAGAGAGTCAGCCTGTCCTTTGAAGCTTTGAAGCCAGGCATTGACTCCTCTCTAGCTGTGAAAGTCCTAGATGGCATTATCCTGCAACGTAAGGCTGTTTTGTCTGCATTGAAAACCTGTTCAGTGTAGCCACCTCCATTTATTGTCTCAGCTAGGTCTTTTGGATAACTTGCAGCAGCTTCCACATCAGCACTTGCTGCTTCACTTTGAGCTTTCATGTTATGGAGATGGCTTCTTCCCTTACACCTCATGAACCATCAACCTCTGCCAGCTTCAGACTTTTCTCTGCAGCTTCCTCCCTTCTCTCAGCCTTTGTAGAATAGAAGAGAGTCAGGGCCTTCCTCTGGTTTAGGCTTTGGTTTAAGGAAATGTTGCAGCTGGTTTTTAATCTTCTGTCTAGACCAGTTAAACTTTCTCTGTATCAGCAGTGAGGCTGTTTCATTCTTACTATGTATGTGTTCACTAGAGTAGCATCTTTAATTTCCATCAGGAGCTTTTCCTGTGCATTCCCAACTTGGCTGAGTGGCACAACAAGCATAGTTTTCGGCCTGCGGCAACTTTTGACGTGACATTCTCTCTAAGTGTAATGTTTTCAGCTTTTGATTTAAAGTAAGAGATGTGTGACCTTCCTTGAACACTACATGGTCATTGTCAGGGTTATATTATTTTTTTATGTTTTTCCATTTAGAAAAAGATTTTATTTATTTATTTATTTTTAGAGAGAGGGGAAGGGAAGGAGAAAGAGAGGGAAAGAAACATCAATTGCTTGCCCCTCCCAGGCCCCCAAACGGGGGCCTGGCCCACAAGGCAGGCATGTGCCCTGACCAGGAATCAAAGTGCCAGCATTTTGGTTTGCAGGCCAGGACTCTGTCCACTGAGCCATAGCAGCCGGCATCATTGTCAGGTTTTTAATTGGTCTATTTTTAGTATGGTTGTGTCTCCGGGAATAGGGATGCCTGGGGGGAGGAGAAATACAGGAGGGTGGCTGGTTGGTTCAGCAGCCAGAACATGCTACATTTATCAATTAAGTTTGTGACACCTCTAAACAATTACAATAGTAACATAAAGATCACCAATCACAGCTCACTGTACCAAATAGATGATAATGGGAGAGTCCGAAATACTGTGAGAATTTCCAAAACGCGACACAGAGTCACGAAGTGAACAAGTGCTGTTGGAAAATCAGCGCCGACCGTTGCCTCAACCTTCATCTTGTAAAGAGCATCATATCTTCGAAGTGCAGGGAGATGCCGTCCGCCTGTGCTTTGGAGAGAGCGCGCCTCTCCCCCAGGCCTGCTGGCCGGCCTGGGAGGGACAGGGAGGTGCAGGCGGAGGCAGTGTGTGCGGTGGTAGAGAGGCCACACTTGGGAGTCAGCGGTGCGGATTCACATAAAGTCCCGCCACTTCGTGGATGTGCAGGGGGGCAAGTCGTTGCGATAATTTGCTTCCCTGAGATTCTGTATCCACAACAGAGCAAAAACAGGGTTAGGTGGTGTTCAGTGAGGGAGGGAGCGTAGATAAAACAGTCGGCATAGTCTGTAAATGGTGGGTCTCTTGATTGTAGAATGACCTCAGCAAAAGGTGGCAGGGACATTTGAAAGGTCTTAGGAAAGGGCGGCGATGGGCGAGCATACATTCTAGTTTGGGAACATGAAGCCTGAAATCGGGAAAAGGCGGGGGAAAGTTCAGCTTTGGACAAACAAAGCAGAAAAGGCGGTCAGGGTAAGGGGGGCTAGAGCAGGACGACAGGAGGGTGTGTAATAATAAGAGGGTGGGATTTCCATGGTCAAGGTGTCAGCGTTCAGGCAGGCGTTAACCCGTGCGTGCAATTGTCATTTTGTTCTTTGGCGTTTCATGTTGTCAATTAATGAGCACAACTTCTCCATTTACAAAAATCACTTATTTTTTAAAGGAAATTGAATTCATGGATGGTTCACTTTTAAAACTGAAGAGTTATATTGAAGTTTATTTGGAGCAACCCACGGAGTTTAAATTACTGTTGGTCGAAGTGGATTCCGATGAGATTGTATGGAAAGCGAAACTAAGAGAATGTAAGTGTTTCGTATCTTTCATTAAAATTTTTTTAATCCTCGCTGAAGGACTTTTTTCCAGTGCTTTTAGAGAGAGAGGAAGGCAGAGAGATGCAACATCGATGTGAGAGAGAAGCATCGATTGGTTGTCTCCCTTTCTCACCTGGACTGGGGTTTGTACAAGCCCGGACAGGAAATGAACCTGCAACCTAGGTATGTGCCCTGACTGGGAATCGAACCCACAACCCTTCGGTTATGGGTCAGTGCTCCAACCAACTGAGCCACACAGCCCAGGGCTGTAGTGTTTTGTATCTTACATGAAAACTGTTTTGTGAGGTAGTGGGGGTGGGAAAGAAAATAGAGTAATTGACTCATCATCATAATATTTAAAAATCTGATGAAGAGAAAGGCCTCAGCTCCCGGAGAAGTATAGGTCTCAGGCACCCGCGTCCAGCCAGGTCCCCAGAGATCCGAGGGCGGCTCAGCGAGGCTGAGGAGGCTTTAGACTGTGGGCAGGCGTGGCCAGTAGGGTTGGGCTTTCTTCTTACCACTGAGGTTTGGATCTCAGATATTTTAATGTGAATCAGGGGTGTTGTGACAAAGTGTCTTCTGTGACCTGGATGTAGATCTGCATTTTTGACTGATCACGTGTCTCATTTGCTGACGTTGCCTCTTTGGTCTTCAACTGATAGCTCCTGCTCTCTGCGGTTGTGGGTCAGCCGTAGGACTGCATTCCCCCGTTCGGTATTTTGGTGCTGGGAAGCCCTCTCACAATCTCCTCTTTACCGTCCTCTCCTGCTCTGGGGACCCCTCTAGAGAGCAGGGGACACCAGATAGCTGTCCCTGCCTCCTCCTTAGGCAGGTAGGAGCTTGACCTCCAATTCTGCCTGAGGGGAGTCTTCAGAACAACAGATACGTGAGTAGTGATCACATTCTGGAGCGAAAAGGTAGCAGCAGGAGCAGTGGGCTGGGAGTGAGGTCATGTGGTCCCTGTTCCAGCTCTTGACTTAACCAGCTCCCTGGGGGGTTGTGGGCCAGTCTCTCACCCGCCTGTGGCTGTAGCCTCCTTATCTGCAAATGGCACTGAGGTCCTGCTTGCCAGCGCTGCATGCTTGTAATAGAAGGTACCTTTGCCTCAATTGCAGTTTGGATTCTGATACCTTAACCGTTTCCCAGTATTAGTTGGCTGCCGGCTACAGCACCTTTCTGAAGAGCAGTGTAAGTGGCCAGTGCCATCAGCTGTACATGTGTAACTACATCCAGGGTCTGTTGGATGTTCGAGAAATCTCTGTGTCATCGAACAACATCTGAATCCTTTTTCAGCTCGTTTCTTGTGTATCCATTGGGTTGTATGTGGATGTATATTCCATGTTTTTTATACTCCAGAAACGAAACGTGATCTGATTGTTTTGGAGTTCTCGGTCCTGGCTTAAGCATGAGCCTTTTCTAGCAGGTGTGGTTGATTTCTTATTCTCAGCATTATACCCATATGCTGGCCCTCTCATGCAAGCTAAAATTACTTACCTGGAAAGAGTCTGGACGGGACTCTGTGTTGGGGTTGTATTGTTTTTCTCAGTTCGGATATTAATAAATGAACCTGAAAGATGTTACTTGTTAATCACTACAAATGCTGTAGTAGCAGAGGTATTTAACTTGGAGCAACTTGAAAACAGATGTTCTTCTGGACTAACAGCATGTCTCCTAGTGGTTTTAAAGACCACTTCATCAGACCTCTCATTATGTCGGATTTTTTAAGAACTTCTTTAATACTTTGCATCTGCAGTAAAGGGACCCAGAGAAGGCCTGCGTGAGACGTGATGTCTCAGGGGGCAGGAGCTGGTTTCACTCAACGACAGCAGTGGCGGCTCACAGTGCAGCATCCAGGACAAGCCTCAGGGACAGCGCCCTCCAAAGGACAGAATGCAAATGTCTGAGACTGTTTTGGTGGGGTGCATGCAACTAACATTTAAAATAAGCAGGTTTTTTTACGGCTTCCTTTCCCACATGGCAAGTGATGGCAGTGTTCTATTTACAGTAGTTCTAGATTTAAAGAAATACTGTGCAAATCCTGTTTCACTTGGCACTTGGGTGTGGCAGAAGTGAGGATGGTGGTGCTCACACAGCTTGAGTTTGGGACACACTTGCCCTGCGAGGCCTGTTGGAAGAAACACTCGTTATTTATGTCAGAATTTCAAGTGCAGTGCATTTGTGTATGTAGCAAGTTAAACCCCAAACTCAGGTGTGAACTTCAGAGAGATTGCCAAGACCCCAGAGCTTCACGCACTTTCGCAAATAGATTGCTTTCATTCTGGCTTCGTACCACTTTTTCTAAGTGATGCTTCTTACACTTGCACAGGTGACTGGGTTCAAGATGACAAGAGTCAGAACATTTCAAAAAGCAGCACCAGAGGTAAGTGCCAGTAACTAGGCATTAAGCGAGTTTTACCCACTTTTCTGTTGCTTCCATTCGCTGGGGTGTTCATTCACTGCGCAGAGGTGGTCATGTTAAGGATCCGTTACATGCTCTGTGACTCTTAATTGTTTAAACAACCTTAGAATCCATTTTTGTTGGTTTCTAACAGAATGATGATATTTTTTAAAAATCCAGATTGAAGGTGGGTCAAAAATAATAAACATAATGGAAAGCCAATTTGTTGATTTTTTTTTTTAAGGTAACAGGCGACGTAAAATGAATAGCGCCCTGCCTGAAGAGGAGGCCTATGAGAAAAGGATGAAGCAGGTTGACGCTTCAGGTTTGTAACAGTGTCATCAGTGGCTGTACATTATTTCCCTGGTCTCCTCCGTCTCCGTCATCCAACACACACACTCTTGGATCTCTCATGGCAGAGCCACATCCCAGCTATGCATGGCCCGTGTCCCAGCTCCTCAGGCCTGGAGCAGGGGGCTCCTTGGCCTTCCCTAGCCTGTTTTTCCAGCTTGGTTCTCCACTCCTCCCCTTTACTCAGCAGAGCTGCAGAGGAGAGGCAGTCCCCTACAGTCCTTAAGGGGAGGGCCATAGCCTGTCCATCTTTACATTTCCCAGAGCACTGAGCACAGAGCCTTAAGGTAGAAGACAGTGAGCACTGCAGGAATGAGTGGAATCGTGAATGTGCGTGTGTGCATTCATTGGCTTCAGAGTTCTTAGCTGCTTCCTGGTGGAGCTTTCCAGCTCAGTTATTACAGGCTGGTCTTAATTTCTTTACAATAAATGGCAGAGACTTAAGGCTCAATAGTTGTGGAAAATATAATAGAGACTTAAAACACTTAACAGTACTCTGAGGAGCCGGAAAATGGAATTTGCAGCTGAAAATGCAAGTCCAGCAAGAATTCACAAATCTGAGTTAAAAAGCCCAGACTAAATTGTATAATACAAGGTCTCAAACATTTATAAATACCTCATGTAGCTCTCCAAATTAACTCTTTCATCAAAATACCATTTCTTTTACTATTAATTGTAAGAAGGTATGAATCTCTAAAAGACAAATGCTCTGTAAAGTACAGTAAGACAGTCTCCACTCTGTATGGCATATGTGTGGTTTTCTGTGCACCACCATACAGCAAACACTGAAATAAGCGAGTGTTTATTTATTTTTCAATGGAACTTATTTTCTCTCTGGAATTATTTTTCAAACCTAACTAAATTGAGATGCAAATTTTTGTAGTTCTGTGGAGCTATAGTTGACAGATAAAAGTGTATATCCTTAAGGCTCACAACATGATGATTTGGTGTGCACATACATCGTGAAGCATTTCGTGATCAAGTTCATGAACACATCCATCACTTCACAGTTACTCTTTATTTTAGTGGCAAGAACACTTAAGATCTACTTTCAGCAAATTTTAAGTATAAAATACAATGCAATGTTATTAGCTATACTCAAACCAGGGAGTGCATTAGATCCTCAAAAATTATTCACCTTATAACTGAGTGGGACATAATTTTGTATTAAATTAGGACAAATATAGGACAAATTTTTCTTGTCTCATGCAATTATTTGGCTATTTAAAATTAGCTCCTGTACCAGGTAGCTAGTAATAGAATTTTAATGATCAGATACACCTAGAAAGATAAAGGATTCTCAACTTTTTTGGAGATGATAATGTAGAATCTAAATAAACAAATTAAGATTTTTTGTTTAGGTATTTCCGCACATTCTTTGAGATAACTCAGCCACTAGCCTGATAGTTTGAGACTCAGTATATTACTGTGTTGCTTTCTAAAATATGGTCAGCACTTAACCTTAACAGAATCACTTCGAGATCTTGTTAAAATTTAGGCTATGAGTCTGATACAATGAATTTGGGGATGTTATTGAGAATTTCCATTTAAATAGGTTTCCTTGTGCCCCAGTTCTCATTGAAGTTTTGAGAGCCAGTAGCAATAGACCATGTGTCAGGGAACCACTAGAGGGCGCAGGCCGCCTTTAAGAAACCCATTCTCCAGTCTAGGAAGTTAGAGAGGAAACTGCAGTGGGAAAGGGTCCAAATACAGCTGTTAAACTCCTATTAATAAATTATTGTCTTCAGAGAAGAGGTGGGGCAGGGGCAGGAAGTATTCTTACCTCTCGCGCCCTTCTGATGTCCTCTCCAGTATTTGTAATACCTTGAGGATCCTTACCCGAAACGCTACATCCGGTCAGCTCGGCTGCTCCATAGCACAAAGTCATTGTCGAAAATCTAGTTTAATGATAGGGCTAACATTTTTATGGGGCCACTGGTTTGCACTGGCAAATATATGCCCTTCCAAGATGATGGCAGAGTTTCTTGGAGATCGTCGGGTGTCACAAATACCATCCCCTGAATTCTCCGAGGAGCGCGCTGTTCCCCCGATGCCAGCAGATGGCGCAACGGAGCCTGCAGCTCCATCCCTCGCTAACATTTAGAGAGACAGGTGGACGGAGGCAAAGATGTGTATTTTTCTTTCTGAGCCTCATAAATTATTTTTGGTATTTGAATTTTTTACTCCAACTTCATCTGTGCTGCTTTGTGAACATCTCATTTGTAATTACGATTAATATTATATCCTGCTTTAATGTTACTAATGGAAGAATTCTCTTTGTCCTTAATATAGTTTGGAAATCAGGGATATTTTTTTGGCATTTAACTATATTTTTAAAGCCGTTTCAGTTACAAACATAGTGTCCTTTTTAATAGAAGGAGAATTACATTTTCATCCTTAAGTAGTTATAAGCGATGGACGTGTTGATGGGACCTACCAAATTCCTCATCTGCTTTTAGGTGGAGCAAACACCCCTTTAACAGAGGCTCATTTGATTACCCTTGCTGGGAAGCTGGGGAAGGACTGGATAAAAATCGCCATTGCCAAGCTGGACCTGGATATCAGTGTTATTGACGCTATCCGGGAGAAGAAAGAAAGCGATACGATTAGTACATTTAAGATGCTGCAGAAGTGGCAAGAAAAGGAGCAGAGCAATGCCACAGTCCAGAATCTGTACAACTGCTTGAAAGATGTCTCAGTTGAAATCCAAGATGTGCTAGAAGGTGAGCAGGAAATTATCTCAAGCCATTTACTTGGAATCAAGCCATGGCTTTGTGAATAGCAGCTGTCTACTGTAGGATGTGTTGCTTGTTTATTTAGCGGCTTGGGTTCAGATTATTACGCAGATGCAGCAGCAAGCTCATGGGCTACCTAGTCTGAGTCATGAAGATTTGTGCATGGAGTCAGAGGAAGAATTCAGATCCCAGCTCAAGTGCTAGCTTTGTGATTGAGCAAATTGTTAACCTAACTTTAAGCTTCTCTGTTCCCACCTGTTGGATGGATGCAGAAGCTTCTATGTCCTGGTCTGTTGTGAGCATGAAAAGAAGTAATACATGTAAAGCTTCAGGCAGGTAGTAAGGCTCAGAACGGAGAAGGTAGGAAGATGTCACGGTACTTGAGACGTTAACTGGTAGCACTGAGCCTACTGGGCCTTCCCTGGTGCTGAAGCAGTGCTCGGGGAGTCCACTGGGTGGCTCCAGTGAGCCTCAAGCGGCAAAGAGGGGAAGGGAAAAAGCCGAGCGGAGAGGCTACCCAGAGTTGTGTCTAGTCTCAATCCAGAAAACCACAGGGTTCCTTCCTTTGTTTTTAAGCACTTCTTTTTTATGGTTTTGATTGTGTTATAGCCAAGGTCAAGCTAATTCAAAACTTTTATTATTATTATGTATTGTTACCATAGTTTAAAAAGTGCTACTTCACAGAACCCTCAATCACTTAGAGAGAGGTTTTTATTTGGAATGCTGTTTAACTCTTTCTTCCAAAAAGGATGTACAGGTAAGTGTGTAAACGCCTCTGAAGTTGAGATGAAAGTTAAAAGCATTTGGTGACCCATCTCTCAGGATGCTTTCAGAGGTGGTGGGCAAGGGCTCCAACCTGCCCTGTGGGCTTTGGAGCAGAAGCCTCAACCTAATAGAATATCAAAATTTTCATTCTTATGCTTAGATCTGTTGAAATTAGGTAAGTCACTGAGGCCGCGTGTGGAAATCTGCTGGTGTGCGTGTAGGTGCTTCTACCTGTTGAGCACGGCCGCACTGCGCTGTGGTGACCAAACAGAGCAGCTCTCACTCCTTTGGGCCTGCTCCTGGCCTCGCTGACCCTCCGCCTGCTGATACATGAGAAACACAAAAGAGTTTGTGACATTTTTTGGCAGTAGAAGGATCATAAAAACTTACTAGTCCAATCCCTCATTAAATAGGAAAAAAATCCTATGTGAGTTAAAAACAAGGCCCCCCCCCCAAATTTACCAATATTTTATGTCTTACTATAGCCAAAATACCTGGTTAATTGGCTGAATTTTATATTTTTATTAGAATGTTTTAGTGTATTGTAACCACCGCCTTTAAATTGTAGTGGCTTCTTTTAAGCTCAGGAAAAATCAGCAACTTCCAGGAGTTTCTGTTTTTGTTTTTTTTTAAAATTAGTTCCTTTTTTAAATAGGCAAGTGATTTCATTTCAAAGGTTGTCCCCTTTTCCCCCAGCAACAAATCCCTGAATTTGTTTAATTCTTCTTGTTTTTTTTTTTTTTTCAGGTTTCTTATAGGCAATATAAAATTTGGAAGATGAACTGAAAAAGGAAGCCTCAGGAACTTTTTATCTGCAAAATACACCATTTCAGCTGGTCATTGGGTATAGACATGACAAAACCTTGAACTTAGTCTCTGGAAGCAACTTCAGGACAGCCAGCTGCTCTGTAGCTCACACTATATAAGGGTGAAGAGAATATAAACTTGTGGAAAACTTGAGGAAGAAAACACTTGTATAATATCAAGACTTCTTTTCTTTTTTGGCACCTCCTGCTCATACCCTCCCACCTGCTCCCCCACCCAGACAGGTATAATTACAAAGGGTGCTTAAAATTGCTCAGCTCAGGCAGGTGAGAGATGTGGTAATTATCCTTTTCGAGTCTTTGGACTATGAAATTCATATCAAGTATTTGAAACATTTTTAGCAATTCAGTGATGGTGTATTTGAATTTGCACCAGTTTAATCTAGCTTTTATTGTATTGACATTGACAGTGAAGGGAGGTTCCCCTTTTACAGTAGCTTCCACACAAACAGACACACGTGCCTCTGGGTTCAAGACATCTTTTTACATGGGATGTAATTTCCATATCCCATTGCTAACCTGCCCGGCGAGTGGTCTGTTAAACCTCTAATCCGGCAGTGTTACTCAGCCCCAGAGTGACTGCACAGGAATGGGACCCTCTCCTGCCACAGGGTGGATGCGCAGTGAGATGGAATGTCAGAGTCACTGCAGTTTTCATCGACCTTCCGGAGTTGCTGGGCCAAACGCTACTGCATGTCTTGACTTTCACCCTGGATCATTTAACTTTTGGGGGGAAGATCCACTTGGAAATAACGTTGGCAGGACCAAGGAAACTGTCACCTCTTCTAGAAGAAGACATGCCCTAGGAATAATGGGTCACACTGGCTCTTGGTAACTGGTAAAATGTCTTTTTTTTGGTATGTGTAAATATTGTCACTCTCCCAGAATCATGCATGCGGTGATTAACATTTTGGGTATGTTTTGTTTACTTATTTGAAGACGCTATAAATTACCATTAGTCTTCTGTCTACGTTAGCTGGAGAGTAAAACAAATGTCAATGAATTAATCTGAGAAACACGCTTTAACTGTTATTTTGCCTGTGGAGAACAAATTCACCATAGAGGGAATTTTTAATTGTCCGGGATCCTGTGGAATTCAAGTTAGTGTCACTTTAATGAGTTTTTTTTTAAATTGTACTGTATTTTAGGAAACCTATGGAATTTTAACATTCAGAAGTGTAAACTACTTTAAAGGACTTGAATTTTTTATTTTTTATTATTTTTTATAAGTTTTTTCAAATAAAAGCATAATTTCAGAGGTTCTTTGTATATCTGCTTATTTCCTAACAGTTTTTGATCTTTTTCGTACTATGGACAAAAGGAAGAAAAATAAATATGAATTGGTACAGTGCAAATGTGGCTCCTCTGTGTTCTTATTTACTTACAGGTAACTTTTTACAGCGTCTTCTTCCTCCGTTGCTGTCACATGACTGGGTGCAGCTGGGTGTGCGCAGCGCTGCAGTTCTGGAACTGAGGCCGAATGCATGTGATCCCAGGAACACTGGTTCCCCTGGAGTTCGCGCAGGCTCAGCCCAGCACTTGGGCAGGTTCAGAACCCTCACCTCGCCTCACTCTGGGACTGCATTCTGGTCCCTCTCTTCCCCTGGGGACAAGAAGGCATGTTTTATTTTAAACCAGGTGGATTTAATGCTGAGTTGTGGTGGCATAAAGAGCTGAGTCATAGTCTTCTGAAAATGCTGGGTCGTGGTTATCTAAAAATGCTGAGTTCTGGTGCCTCAAGAATGCTGTCATGGTTTTCCAAAGATGCCAAATCGTGGCGCCTCAAAAATGCTGAGTCGTGCTGCCTCAAAAAAAAGCTGTGAGGATGCCTCAAAAATGCTGAGTCATAGCAGAAATGCTGAGCCACGGTCCCTCCAAAACGCTGAGTTATAGTGCATTTTGACGCCCACAACTCAGCATTTTAGATAACCATGACTCAGCATTTTTAGATGACCATGACGAGATGATCATATACTCACGTATTTGTTTTCTCTGGCCATGGCACTCAAAAATGGGAAGGGCAAATCTTCACGGGTTCCCACTTGTTTTTCACTTCTGTTTCTAATTTAGGAATAAACAATCTTTGTGGTCTTTAAAATTATGTTATTCCCAATTTCAAAAACATTAAAAATTGTAAAATGCACATGCTTGCTTGGTCCAAACCGATTATACATACTTGTATTGTGAGGATCCCAAATGCATACACCTGTTGATTTCAATAACGTCTCCATCTGCAGGTTGGGATCACGTGGTTACTGTCCATCAGAAACTGCCAACAATCCACACCTGTGAACTGGAAAGGGCTTCCTTCCCGTTACAGATGCCTTAGACACGAACTTGCAGATGGTGGTTTGAGAGACCCTAGCGATCTGCTCATCGGCTGACCCCCACATGGCCCCTGACAGGAGTGGGCGGGGGTCTGGCAGGGCTCCGCAGGAACCCTCTGTAGCCCCGAACCCCCCACCAGAGCAGCAGCACTTTGGAAAGGTTGGCCAGCACAGGTTCCGGGTGAGACAGCCTTTCGCAAATGGTTCCCACAGCTAAGGAAAACTTAAAACGCTCACTGGACCCGTCCAAGGCCCTCCCTGCAATTGGGTTTTGATAAGGAACAAAACCATCTTTCAGATTTCCCAGCATGCTTGAAAACAGGACACTGCTATCCATGCGGAGAGGGTAGCCATTTCCATAAGTGGAACCCATGCCAGAGGTTACCGTGAACAGCACGGATGGACCTCCGCAGAAGAGAGACGGCTGCCTCACTCCGGGCTGTCGGACTGGGAGCTACACTGTGATTGGGACAAATTCAATGGCAATCTGGCAGGGCCCCAGGGCAGAGCTGTGGGTCCCAGTGGAGAAGCCGGGAGAACTTCACAACTCTGGCTCCGAGTTCAACCCATTGCCTCTATTTTAGCATCAGCAGCTACAGAGCCATTATCAGAAGCGCTCATCCCACAGCTGGGAGAGACACAGTCCCAGCAGTGACTTCCAGGCTACCCAGCTGGGTGGGGCCCTGCAGCCAGCACTGTGCTGCTTCACCCCAACAAGGGCTTCAGGCACCTGCTGAAACCACCACCCCTATGAGAACACACTTAAAAATTGACAAATACAGGACTTTGGGCCAAGATGGAGGCATAGGTGGAAACATTGTGCCTCCTCGCACAACCAAGTTTAAAGACAACAAAGTTTTAGTAATAAAAATACAACCAAAACACAGAAAATTGAACTGTACAGAAGTCCGACAACAACGAACCATTCAGCCAGACCGGTAAGAGGGGTGGGATCAGCAGCTGGCGGAGTGGGGTTGTGCAGGAAAAATGGGCCGGACCAACAGGTGCACAGGCGGCGTTGGCAGATCTCAGGCATGGGGTGGCAACGGGCGGATCCAGTGAGGGCACAAGGTGGCAGGCTGACCGCGGTCACACATTCGTGTACAGATAAACCAGGCAAGAAAATGAGCAGGGAGACAGACCATGGAAACCAGGGCCCCAGCACCAGGAACTGAAGCCTAAAAACACCAATTGGAGAAACTTTTGAGGGTCAAGGTGCTGGGAAAGGCTCCCAGGCTCACAGAGAGTTTGTTGGAGAGACCCACAGGGTTCTGTAGGGTGCACAGGCCCACATACCTGGGAACCAGCACCAGAAGGGCCCAATTTGCTTGCGGGTAGCAGCAGAGGGGACCAAAATTTGAGACAGCATAAAACAAGTGCCATTGCCCCTCTCTGACCCTGCCCCCACATACAGTGTCACAACCCAGTGACTGGGTCCCCCAACCCTTGTGAACATCTAAGGCTCCACTCCTAATACATAACAGGGGTGAACAGACCAAAACATTATGGCTCAAGAGGAACAGCTCAAAACCCCAGAGTCAATACTTCTGAGTGACCAGGAGATAGCCAACCTGTCAGATGCACAGTTCAAAACACTGGTGATCAGGATGCTCACAGAACTGGTTGATTTTAGTCACAAATTAGAGGAACAAATGAAGGCTAAACTAAGTGAAATGAAGAGAAATGCACAGGAAACCAATAGTGATGGAAAGGAATCTGTGACTCAAATCAATGGAGTAGACCAGAAGGAAGAAAAAAATGACCAGACAGAAAGGAATGAAGAAAGAAGACTTCAAAAAAATGAGAAGAGGCTTAGGAACCTCCAAGACATCTTTAAACATTCCAACATCTGAGTTATAGGGGTACCAGAAGGGGAAGAGAAATAGCAACAAGTGGAAAACTTATTTGAACAAATAATAAAGAAGAACCTCCCCAATCTGGCAAAGGAAATAGACTTCCAGGAAATCCAGGAAGCTCAGAGAGTCCCAAAGAAGTTGGATCTAAGAAGGAACACACCAAGGCACATCATAATTACATTAGCCAAGATTAAAATGAAAGAGAGAATCCTAGAAGCAGCAAGAGATAAGGAGACAGTTATCTACAAAGGAGTTCCCATAAGACTGTCAGCTGACTTCTCAAAAGAGACCTTATAGACAAGAAGGGGCTGGAAAGAGGTATTCCAAGTCATGAAATCCAAAGACCTACATCCAAGATGATTCTATCCAGCAAAGCTTTCATTTAGAATGGAAGGGCAGATAAAGTGCTTCTCAGATAAGATCAAATTCAAGGAGTTCATCATCACCAAGCCCTTATTATATGAAATCTTAAAGGGATTTATCTAAGAAAAAGAAGATAAAAAATATGAACAGTGAAAGGACAGCAAACTCACAGTTATTAACAACCACACCTAAAACAAAAGCAAACTAAGAGGACAGCTGGATCAGGAGCAGAACCATAGAAATGAAGACCACATGGAGGATTAGCAACAGGGGAGTGGGAGGAGGAGAAAGGGGGAGAAGGTACAGAGAATAAGTAGCTTAGATGGTAGGTAGAAAATCGATGGGGGAGGGCAAGAATAGTAGGGGAAATATAGAATCTAAAGAGCTTGAGACACATGGACATAAACTAATGGGGGAGGAATGGTGAGGGAGGGGTGTGCAGAGTGGAGGGGAATGAAGGGGGGAAGTGGGACAACTGTAATGCCATAATCAATAAAATATATTTAAACACATAAAAATAGAAATAAAATAGGCACATAAAAAAGATTTTAAAAAATTGGCAAATACAGTGGTCTCTGTAGAAAAGGGACTAAAAACATGCTTCCACATGATAAAGCTGAGAAGGAAACACTCACCCTAAAGCCATTCAAAATAAACTCCAAATGTGCAAACACAAATCTCATTCGAGAGCTGCACAGGTGAGAAACACTCCATTTACCTTTCAAGATAATTTATAAATTAAGTGAATTTCCAATGGGTTAGAAATGGGCAATATTTTTAGGGGACCTCAGTGGTACTAACTCTGCCCCTGCACTCTCTGTTCTGTGAAGGGCAGGACTCTGCATTTTTGCCCTGGTATCTTGCAGCAAACAACCTCCTATGGACACCCCCACATGCCGAGCCCCCCGGAGGGGTGTCCCAGCCACTCAGGTGTTTAAGCCAACAATCGGACGATGTGCAACAGTGGGCATGGAGCGCTGGCGAGAGCCCAGCCCTGCGCTGTCATTTAATCCTCACAGCGGTGCTGGGAAATGGGGCTGTGGATTTTTTAATTTCACAGGTGAGAGTAGCAAAGAGGCTTTAACCAATTTGGCCCCAAGGCTAGTACTGTTTTTCAAAAATTGCTCACATTGATAGTGCACGTGACGCGGGCCAGGCCGATGCTAGTGTTTGGCATGACCCGTTCCGCTTAACCCTCATGCTGATCTTTGGAGCAGGTTCTAGTATAATCTAATGTTCTTACAATTGGAAACAGGGAGACGTTAAAAGAACACAGCCCTGTTACAGAACTTAAATGTCGCAGGCCTAGGTGTAGGGGGAAAAGCGGAAACCTGACCCCGTGAGGCAGAATGAGTTACCGACGGAAGCTGTGAAGACATTTCCGGGTCAATCAGGTTTTTGAAGCATATGTGGTGGTAGTTTTTAGAAACTGAAGTAAGCCCTGTGCTCTTCCATGTAAACCCAGTCCATAGGATGGACTATCTGCTTGCCTCTCCTGGTTCTGGGCACAGGCAAGGGACAAGTCACCACTTCACTGAGGAGGAGCAGCAACTGGACAGTCCCGGCCCCAACAAGACAACAAGCTCTTCCCACAATCAAAGCTGCTGAGACCCCAAACCTGATGCCTACAGGCAAGAAACTCCTGTCTGCACATCACCTGTGGGTCGTCCAAGCTTACGGAGGAATCATCAGAGAAAAGGAGATGTATGATGGGACCTAGCTTCCAGTGATTTCTACCACGTGGGCTGAGAGTCTGGAAAAGGAGTGAGTTTGCCACACAGAGAGGACCTGGGGTGGCCAAACGCAGTCCCCTCGCAGTTCCCAGGGACAGGCATTGGGATCTGAGGGGAAGGGTCCAGCTAAGGAAAGAAGGGCCGCTCTGAACAGTTTGTGCCTTAGTGGCTTTTCATAGTAAGGAGGGACATGACTATCGAAGTCCTAAAATTCTGTGTTGTTCATTCTGCCAGGTGAATCTTTTAAAATTCACATGGTTTGGAGAAGTGAGAAATTGGAACTTAATATTTGGGCCATGAAGAACAAATCTCTTAACCAAAGCGAGGCCATTATCCACGTGGTTCAGGCAGAAGTCCTACATAACATAAAGCAAATGGAGACTTTTTCTCATTGTAATTTAGAAATAACTTCCCCCGTGGGCCCAAAGGGTCATGAAAATTGGAAGGATTTAACGGGAAGGCCTTTTAATGATGTTTTTTCCAGTTGGGGTATATTATTACGTATTATTCTATGGCACAGCATCTTACGAGGCTGTGGGTTAACAGGGAAAAACATTTTTATGCATCTTAGGTTCCGATGTTGAACAAAAATAAAGTAACTCAGTCGAGGACCTCAGTGTCAAAATAGATCTAGTCTAAGGTGGCTCCCTCCAAGTCTGAGACTACAGTACTCAGGAAGTGGGGGAGGACGCCGCAGCAACCTTGCCGAGGTGTTCTGCTGAGATCCCACCAGGACTTCCGGTTTCCCCACGATGTGCGTTTTAACAAAGTTTTCCAGTAGAGAAAGAGGAGAACGACTTTAATTCAATCACTTTATTCTTAGAACAACAGAAGGTATTTCTCAAGTCCATTTGGAAATAAATATTTTAATAAATATAACATAAATAAATATAAGTTAGCTCACGTGCCTTCATGAACACAAAATTATATAAATAAATATTTTAAAATAAATTATGCTTGAGTGTTTCAACAAACACTTTGATATGGAAATAGCTTATAAATTCTTGCTCTTCTATTGACAAAAACACATTCAGTGTAGAAAATTTCCCTCCTTAGCAATTTGCTCATGAAAACTTTGAAATAACTTATCCATAGATGTGAATACACACGATAAAATGAATCATTTAAATATAGTAGTCTCATGTTGGACTTTTGGCTGGTGAGGAATGTAAACAATATGAAAAAAACCAGCTTAAATAGGACCAGGTCAAGGTGCTGCCTCCCCCACATACTGTAAATATTTTTTTGGTTCAAATTTTTATGGAAATGACTTCAAGGCTGGGAGTGACCTGAGCTTTTTAGGAAGAGTTCAGGTAACTTATCACCCTCTCGATAGTCACTGCCCGGATTCTGAAAGCGTGAAGGAGGATGCAGAGCTTGATTTTCGTCTTGTAAAGATCCGGTTCTTCAAGGGAGGGCTTGAGTGGCACGGCCTCACTGCTGGAATTCAGGGCCTAGGAGGACACATGAGGAGCATGACATCTAGGGGCTTCCAAAATTAGATATCCGCCCCTAGAAACGGTGGAAGCCAGCACACGTCTCAGAGCCTGCACCCCACCCCCTCATTACATCTCCTGGACCAGCCGGGTCTCCCTGCAGCCGGATGGCCCAGCAGAGCCAGAGAGGAGGAATTCTCATTATCCGAGCACGTGGATCTTCAGGGAGCTCTGAAGAGACCCTTAAAGCTGTTCAGAAAACCATCAGTAGAAGTTGCGTTTTAGAAAGGAACAATCCCGTTAAGATGACATCTGCTGCAGTGCCTAATTAATTCTTAAGTGTTACAGTAGGAAGCTGAGTCCTTTTTAGAACAGGGAGATGATGGAGTACTATTATCAGAACTCTCTATCAACAATAGACCTGTTTACTATAGAAACTCACTTGTGTCAGATAAACAAACCTGGCCCTGGACCTCCCAGTTTCAGCCATTTGATTTGGTGACTCAGCGCAAGACCTTATATTTGCACAGTGATTGATGATTCCACTTAGTCCTCCCATTGCACAGAGGGAAAACTGAGGCACAGAGGAGCCAATGACTTGGGCATAGTTGTCTGATTACTGGTATAATTGATTCAGGGGCCAGAATCGCCTATCTCCGTCCTGAAAATGAAATCATCATCTACAGTTCTGCAGGTGGTAACATTCTTGGATGCTTTCATGACATTCAGTGTTTTCCAGACAAGTAATTTGGCAAAAGAAAAGACAGAGAAGGAAAAAAATATACCTTTTTATGCAGTGATTTCTGACAATGTATTTTTATCCTGTGCCCTGGTCACCAAAGCAATCACCCCGCTCTTTCTTCTGTGAATATTTCTATGTTTTGTATTGACATTATGTGCTGTGATGGTTAAGAAATTACAAAGCAAGTTCTTGACTCTGAATAACATGTGGACCTCCCTAGGTGATAGGTCACTCTTTTAGCTCATCCACATTTTGGTCCAGAGTGGCTCATACCCAGGCCCGCGCCCTGCTTACGTACTCTGGCACTGTCTGCAGGTGTGCATGCTGGCCCCTCACATACATGGAGCGTTTAGAAGTGAGCAAGATGTGTCATGGATACCTTTGATGGGATGACTTAAATCTGACTCTACCACATACAAGCTGTATGACCTTGGACAGGTGGCTGACTCTCTAAGCTTCACTTTCCTCCTTGGTGCAGACCCCAGTGGGTTGCCGTGGGGACCACCGAAGAAAACAAATGTATGGAAACATTTGCAGAGGGCCCGGTGCATACCACTTGGTCAACAAACAGGTGGCTGCTTTTCTTAATGTGACCTGCTCATGACTGCTCTTTCTCTAGAGGACACACTCAAAGCTAGAGCTCTTCAGGGGGAATGTCAGGCCTCTCCCCACCCGGGAAGGGCTGATGGTGTATATACTTCTTCATCAGGCTGGCTGCCTCAGCGTGAAGTGGGTGCTCTCGCTGAGAGGAGGAAGGCCTTACCTGCATCAGCTCATCAATAGCTGCCAGCATGTTTTGATCCAGAGTGATCTGCCTCTGCGGATCCATCAAAAGTTTTGCACTGATGGCCTTGAACTCCACCTGGTACATCTTCAAGTCCTCATAGATACTACTGAGGCACAGGGTCTGGGTAATATGACAAATGAGGAGGAATCCATGGAGATGGTCCAGAGACATTTTCCTTCCCCTTGCCCTCCCCCTCGCCCTCCCCCTCGCTCTCCCTTTTGCCCTCCCCCTCCCCCTCCCCCTGCACTTGAGGAAAGACTTTGGTGTCTCACCATCATAAAAGAGGCCTTTCTGGAGGCCAGGCAGGTCCCATTCTAGAAGAGAAAAAGGATCAGACATCAATGATGTGAAATTCATAAAATGGGCGGAAACCTTTAATTTTCTGACTTACAGTTGTGAAAGAGATCTCTCTGGAGACCAGGCAACTTTCATCCTAGAGAAAAAAAAATCACACATAAAAGATATTAATTCTTAATATAAAATTTTCTGGCTTTTCTTCTCAAACATTTGTTTTTTTTATTGTGGTTAAAAACTAACGAAATTTACCATCTTAACTATTTTTAAGTATATAGTTCAGTGATACGCATATTGACATTGTGAAAAACTTTATCTGTCTTTACAGACTTTTTTTTCAAATCTAGTCAAGTTTCCTGATGGTGGAGACCAGAAACGTGCACATTTTAGTAGGACTGTGAGGTTCGATACACAGCTTCCCCTTGCATTACTCGCTTTGGGAGGAGTGTCGCCATCCATACCGTGGTTAGTTCTTGGGGTAAGCAGGCCTCCACTGTGCTCGTTTTGTCTTTCGTGATATCTTCATGATCGATCTCTTCAGAAGTGCAGGAGTAAACTTCTAGAGTTTGTATGGCCTGTAGGAAACATGAGGAGAAACTCAGTTTATATTAATAAAGTACCTGGCTCCGCATACCCTGAGGTGCCGGCAAAGCCAGAGCTGAACTCTATTCCTTTGACCTGTAGGAAATTCAGGCTCTTCAGAAGACAAGGGGAACGGGTCCTTTACATCTTCCCTTTCTCCCTCCTTTCCCTTGGCTTCTAGGACTTGTTTCCCTGGGTGACAAGCTTTTCCATTGTGTAAACACCATAAATCACTCAGACCGGCTGCACTAGTCAGCCCCTACACCACGTTGTGACACTTACTTCTGGTGAAAACGCTTTGTTCTTTTGCCAAAGTGCCTGTGCTTTATGAATATCTTTTTAAATTATAATTTTTAAAGGTGAACCATTAAGGTCACGACTTGATGGCTATAACAAACATGCAACCCTGAAGACAAGCTGAGATTTAATCTGTGGTGCATGAATTACCATCTGCTAACACCTTGGAAAACACCTTATGAAATTTATTGTAAGGAGTCGGTAGCTTTTGGATTGAAGATCGAGATCATTTTGTGGGCCTGATGTGGGCCAGGCACTGAGCTAGGTGCTAAGGAACATGACAAAGAGGAAGACTATGTTCTGTCCCCCAGGATTCCAAGTTCATGTTCAGAGACACCTGCCGGTGTCCGAATGACTAGGAGACGTGTCAGCAGGTGAGAAATCGGAGAAGGGTATGAAGGTCCTGAGGAGAGGGTGGAAAGGGAAGGAAAGACGTCTACGACGGGAAGATTAGAATGTTGGCCGGCAGCGGAGGGAGACTTTCAGGCAGAGGCAAACGTGTGAGCTGTGAGTCAAGGCTTGAGAGTGCAGAACATGTTTGGAAACAGGTAGTAAAATCCCCATCTATGCTGAACAGAATAATGTCCCCGATACACACTGCCAAACAGACCCACTTCATAATGCCTGGAACCTGAGGATATGTCATGTTACATGGCAAAGGGGAATTAAGGTTGCAGGTGAAATTAAGGTTGTTAATCAGCTGACCTTAAAATACAGAGGTTGGGGAGGGCCAGGCTGGGAGTAAAAGGCAGAAAACTGTACTTGAACAACGATTAAAATAAAAGAAAAAGAGGTTATCTTGGATTATCTGGGTGGACCCAATGTAATCACTGGGTCCTCTCTGAGAGAGAGAAGAAGGCAGGAGAGTCAGGGTCAGAGTGAGGCATTCTGGGAGAGACTCAGCAGGCCATCGCTGGCTTCAAAGATGGAAGGGGACCACACACCAAGAGACGTGGGGAGCCCCTAGACCCCGGAAAAGGCGAGCAGACAGAATCTGCCCCAGTCTCCAAAACGGCTATGGCTCGACTGACACCTTGATTTTTTTCCCAGCGGGACCTATTTTAGACTTCTGGCCTCCAGGGCTATAAGATAATAAATCTGTGTTGTTTGAAGCCCCTAAGTTTTGGGTAACTGATAGGAATGGCAGTGACAGAAAAGGAATACACAGTTCCCGGAGGTGTTCGAGCAGGTTGTAAAAAGTTAGGTTTGGAAACGTGGGCCCACTGTCACCATTCTTCAGATTTTTGCAAGAGAAGTTGGAAACTTGAATTCTTTTATGAAAGGCCCACTCTTGCAATAGCATCAAACTAAAAAATCAGCATAAAATACAAAGGACCTGGGCCGAACTCTACAAATCCGGGTGCTGGATATGGCCCCTGAGTGGCATGCATTTGCCACCCATTTCCTGCAGCAGCCGCTAGTTGGGCAAATTTGACACAGGGACGACCTAAAAAGCAGCAGGTCGAGTCCTGCAGTGTCTTGCCCTTCAGTGCTACAGCTGGACGTAAAGGAGGCGGCTTTCTCATGTAGAGCCTCTATTGAAGTAGTAGCGCCTACATTTCATCCACACTGAACCTTTGTTCAGGAGTCAAAGCACTGGTCTCCGCAGCTTTCCTTGGGGGAGCCGCCCTTTTAATTAAGATGGACTGAACTGGGGAGCAATAGGCAGCACATGATGGAAGACAGAGGGGAAAAAAGAGTTCTTTCAGAAGGCCTTGTAGCACTGAGTTTATTTTAAGATACTCGTAAAACAACAAGCTAAAAATATTCAAGAAAGATTTACTAGACATCTTTGAAAACATCAGTCTTTGGCCCTTGCAGCAAAAGCATTAGCTACTGGAGCACTTTGGAAGGGGAAAAAATGGTTTGCATTAAAATACGAAGCCTAAAACATGAACGAAGCTCTAAATAAAATTGGGTAACTCTCTCCCTGGAAAATGAAGGCTGGACATGCACCGTCACAGGCTCTCCGAAATGCGCTGCTCTGACCGTGGCCTGGGTCACCAGACTGGAAGCTGGTGAGCAGCGTGAAGTGCAAGTCTAGTTCGTCTCTGTGGTCCCCGGAGCACAGAGGCTGCAATGGTTTCCTGGACTTATAAGTGCGTCGGAGAAACCCTGTGGGCCCGACCCAATTCCATCTCTGTTGGCAGGTTACAGAGAACAAGGCAAATGCCCACTTTGCTCTGTGTAGACACAGCCCAAAGGGATGCCATTATAATTTATTATCACCCATGCTTTCCCTGGAGACAATTTCATTGAGTCTCTTTAGCTAATAGCTGGGCCATTTGTAAAGTTCCCTCTTCCTCCCTTGACGGCTCCTGATGAACTTCCACAACTTCCCTGCAGTCCCTTCAGGTGGCCAGGGGCTCGGAGCAGCCCCTTCCCTACAGAGGTTGCAAAGTGAGAACAAGGACACTGAGGAGCTCACCTTGTGAAGAGTGTTGCTGACGGCCCTCAGCAGGTTCTGGGCGTGGCTGAGGCACTGGGACGGTTCTGGGCCTGCCCGGGCGGTGGGGAGGTTCCTGGCCAAACCGAGGTGGTGTAGGAGGACCAGGGTGGCCACGAGGAGGAGGCCTGGAAGGAAGGGGATGGCCGAGGTTGTCCACCTGATTCGGCCTGCCTCTCCCTGCCATCTGCTGTGCTTGTCTCCACCCATCTACCTCCTCTGGGCTCAGCCTCCCCCCACCCTTTCAGAATCTTCACTAAACACCTGAGAGAGGAATCAGCTTCTTGGAAGGCGGCGCTCTATTCCGCGGGCAGAAACCAACTCTCAGCAAGGAGCCCCCAGGGAGCTCAGACAAAGCCGTTGGACTCGAAACGCGGCCGGAAAAAGTCTCCACTTCGCCAGTGGGAAACCGAGACCAGGTGGTGAAGCGACTGTCCCAGACTCAGGACCCCGTGTTTTGGAAAAACGGGGGTGACTACGCCGCATTTTGAAGTCGGCTGGGATCTGGCCCTGACTTAGAGCTGTAGCTGAGGGACCCCGCGCCAGAAATCACTCCGTGGGGCCTCAGTTTCTCACTTGTGAAGTGGTCATAATAAAACTACTTAGCTCAAGGGAATAATGGTTCAAGAACAAGAGACAATGTCCTTCGTAGAGCGCGGAGAGCGAGCAAGTGCCGTATTTTGCCGTGTATCACGCGCACCCAAGGTTTTGTAGGTGCGCGACACACGGGCATTCCTGGCCTCAAACAACGTTCCTTATTATACCCACGGTATGTAATCATTACGCCCGTGTATAACGCGCATCCTTATTTTTCCCTAAAAATTTTGGGCCAAAAGGTGGACATTATAACAAGACAAAATACCAAGTCTCCCGCCCCCTCCCTTCTTTCTCCTTCACTAGAAACTGCTGATTGTTTCCAGGCTCCCCTTGGCTGCACCAAGTTTCTGACTTCTTTTCTCGGGCTGCCGCCGCTCCCCTCCGGAGCCCCGCGCCCCGCGCCCAGAGGCCGGGCCGCCGGCTACTCACTGCGCGGTGGGTGCATGCTGAGCGGACGCGGAGCAGGCAGCTGGACGCGGACCGCTGGACGCAGCAGGTGAGGGCGGTGGATGGAAAGCCGACCCGCGGGTCACATTTTTATAATTGCCCGGAGGCGCGGCAGGACTTTCCCCGGACTCTGGTCTGTTGCTTTCTTTCTCTCTCTGTCTCTCTCTACATCAGCTTCTCGGTCACACGTGGAATGCGGGCTGCGGGGCTTGCTGCGCTTTCGGCTTAACTCCCCCGGTGCCATTCGGGACGGCCCCGCCGCCGCCTCCAGCCTGGCCCAAAGCGAAAGCGAAATTCGAGCAGAATCACCGCACGGGGGCCCCCAGGGCTCGCCCGGCCGGGGTCTGTCCCCTCGCGCCCGACCTCACCGGCGCCGGCTCCCACCCCACCCCCCCACTTCCCAGCCCCCGCCCGCCTCCCCGCAGCGCCCCCTCCCGACCGAGCGCCCAGTAGTGCCGCCCACTTCCCTTCTAGCACATCCAGGATGTGCCCTGAGCGGTGACCTCCCTAGTTCTGGATGGGGGTGGGCAGTTTATTTATTCGGTAGTTCGTTAGTTCGTTCATCCGTCCGTCCGTCCATCGGTCCATCCATCCATCCATCCATCCATCCATCCATCCATCCATCCATCCATCCATCCATCCATCCGTGCCACCCGTCCCTTCGTCCGTCCATTCACATGGTCTACAATGTGCCAAGCCGATATTGTGCCAGGTGCGGGACACCCAGTGGTGAATAGGTCCCTTTGGGGCACTCCCACACCAGGTCTGACTCAATGAGTTTTGCTCAAGAGTTCTATCTGACTCAATGAGTATGATCTTAAACATGAAAAGGGATGAAACCAGACTGACTATGCAGTAACTACTGTCTCTGAGAATCCAGTTTCTTACAGATACCAAGAGACGATAGTGACAATTTAGCGGGATGGGTGGGTGCACAGGGTCCTGGGAGGAGAAGCCCAGAGAGAGGGCACCTCAGCAGGAGCAGTGGGATTGAAGAAGGAGCAAAGGCTTCTGGGAGCAGAGGCCCTCGACCTGAGCACTGAAGAGTGCTTAGGCACCAGACCGCTTCCAGTGAGATGGAATGCAGGTCCCAGGGAGGGGGAGCAGGGGTCAGAAGCACTGTCAGGGAGGGTAGAGAGAAGCGGCTCTCTGGGGGTCCTGCTGCCAGGTGGGAGATTAGGCAGCATGATGGGGCTGTGTGGTGAGGGTAGTGACTGCCGTGCTGAGGAGTGCACATTCTGCTGAGGGTGGTGGGGAGCCTTCTGGAGTTTCAGGCAGGGGATATGGTTTCATTGGCATGATTTCTTCAGCCGTAGTATGCGGGATGGATCCCAGGGGTCAGGAGTGGAGCAGAGGGAGCAGCTGGAGGGCATGGCCAAAGCCTGGTTCAGAATAAAGGGTACCACAGGAGGAATTCTCAGGACAGGGAGGCGCCAATGCTTGGTAACTCCTCAGGTGTGAGAGCCAGACAGGCCCTGAGAAGAGGTGAATGGAGGTTGCTCCCATTCCTACACAGGGGTTACTGTAACAGGGGAGTGAGTTTGGAGGAGACAGTGAGAAGTTCCATTTTGGATGTGCTGGGTTTGAGGTTCCTGTGGGACTTTTCAGTTCATTCATTTCTACCACAACTATTAGTCACCCTGGGTGTCTATGAAAGGGAGGGGTGTGTTTGGTCATCCACTCAAAGCTTCTGAAGGGTCATACTGCACTAAGGCCCCAGGACTTCACTATGGAGATGCCTGTGTCCACCTTTGTGCAGATTCGCTGATCTTGGATAGAGAGAAGCCTTCCGGATGCAGGAGAGGAGTGGATGCTTCCTCTTCCCTTCCTCGGGGTCCCACTGACGTAAGCCCTGAGATGCCACCATGAACACTTGGCTGGGCCAGCCTCTCCTGAAGATGGGGTGATGAAGCCAATGAGGAGGAGGCTGTATCAGCCCCTGGTCTGATTCCAGCTCTCTCAGTTGGCACCAGCTCCCCTAGACAGCTCATTCACTCAAAGACAATGAGGCACACACCTTGGGGACTTTTAGATGTGTGTAAACGAGAGCAACAGTTGACCACTAAGGCTCCTTCCAGTGCTACTGTCTCTGTTCCCCCATGGGGACAGAGACCAATGGGTTGTCAGAAACAACTACGTCTAGCATTTGCATGAAGCAAATGACAGGTGCAGAGCTGTGTTGTTGCCAAAGGGGTGTAGGATGGAGTTAAATGTACTTAAAGTCAAAATGAAGTCACATTCATCACAACTGAGCATTTTTCCCCTGGAAGGCAGTCTCCTATGGAAACGTAATTTCTGTGGCATAAATAAGCGCAGGCCTTTGCTCAGAATGTATTCATAGCCACCATACTCAGTTTCTAACTAACCTATACTTCTGCGAAACTGCTCTCTGACGTGCTGTAGCCGAGATAAAATGAGAAACTCTCTCTGGGTTAACGTTACTTTCCTACAAGAGACATTGACCCATGATCACTAGTACCTAGTGCCTGGCATTGTACTGGAAGTCTTGGACAGTGCTGTAAGGAAAGAAAAAAGAAATGAGAAGTTTATAAACTGGGAAAAGCAAAATTGTCATTCTTTACCATTGATGTACAGAAAAGCAACAGAAACAATGGAGCAAATAGTAGAACTAATAAAAGAATTCGGCAACTTCACTGGATACAAATATCAACTTACAAAAATCAGCCAAGTTCTCTACACCTGCAACCAATTAGAAAAGTAATATCATAAAATATAGTATAATAGTATAATAGTATAGTAGTATAACAACCAATAATAAAAATAGTATGCCAGATAATAAATAAATAATAAAAAGATGATACTATTCACAGCAGCAGCCAACCTGTATAAAATAACTGCCTGCAGACAGAGAGGCGGAACAGTGGCTGAGTCTGGACTGCAAATTATTTGAATCCAGGCTCTGTTGTGTTGTTCCTGTATGTTCTCGGACAAGTTGCTTATCTCTCTGGGTTCAGTTTCCTCAAATGGGAAATAATGGTAACAAAAGAACCCATATTTTGGGTGGTTGTGTTTATTACATGAGTTAGTGTAAGTATAGAATAGCCTTTGGAGAAAAAATTTAACAGCCTAGTCAAGGACATAGAGTGATTTAATTGAAGTGGAAATGCATTCCATACCCTTGGGTGAAAGATCTTAATGTGTAAATAGCTCAATATATAGTCTCCTTTAGGTAATTTACATATTCAAGGAAAGCCCAATACAAATTACAAATACATTTTCTGAGGAACTTCGTAATAGGCCTACCCTAAAATATGTAAGAATAAAAGTCTATGGATGTCTGAGCTAAAGTAAAGGAATCACAAGTATGTTTAAGGGGCACTTCCAGATCCAAAGACATGGTTCAGAGCAGTAGTAATGGAATTGGTGTTTGACCAGAGAACAACCAACTGATTTACTGAAATAAAACACAGACATCAGAGCAGACTCACAGGCGTGGGTATTTAGTAAGAGCTACAGATGGCATCTGGATCCCCGAGGGGAGCACGGGTTGTGTAGTGCAGAGTGCTCGCCGTGTGGTGAAAAGTAAAACTGGACTCCAACCTGAGCAAAATACAGAGGCGAGGCTGTTTGGAGGTGGAGTAAAGACTAAATGTGAAAAGTAAAATTATTGCAGCAATAGGAGAAAATATAGGAGACTGCTTTGTCACTCAAGAGTCGGAAAGAGTTTTTAAAATACATCAAAGCCCCTTAAGGCAAAATACTGATAAACTTGATTACATAAAAATTAAGAATTTCTGTAGTTTGATTTCCTGTTAACCATGGGCAAAGTTAACAGACAGCTGACAGATTAGGAGAAAATATTTTGCAATGTCTCAAACCAATAGGGAAGTATACAAGGAACTCCTGCAAGTCAGAAAGAAAGAAACAGAAATCCCAGTGAAAATGGGCGAAGCTTATGAATAGACAGTTTTCAGAGAGGAAACCCCAAAGGCTAACCAGTGTCATGAGATGCTCGGATATATGATAATCAGGAAAATGCAAATGAAAACAAGAACGAGATATCGTTTTATGACTGTCAGATGGCAAGAATGAGTACATGGATATTGACAAGGGTGGGTAGAAATGCATCCGGGATCCTTTATTTAATGCAAACAGACTGCAGCAGCTGTGTCGGAAGGCATTCTGGCGGGGCTGGTCAGATTAAGTGTACGCACACCCAGTGTTCCACCTTGGGTATATACCCCAAAGAGATTCTTATACAGACCCCTGGGGAGACATGCGGGAGGATGTTCATGAAGCCGTTGTCCCTAGTTGGTGGGGCGCTGGACGCAGCGTAGTTACCCACCACTGTGGGAGTGAGTGGGTGGAATGTGTGACTGTCTGTTAGCCATGGACGAGGTTAACAGACAGCGGGCAGAGTAGGAAAGACGCTTTGTAATGTCTAAAACCATTTCATGGAGTATTCTGCAGCGGTTATAAGTAATGGCCCGGATGCATTGTACCTGCAGCAACATGGATAGATCTTAAAAACATAATACTGGATACAAATATAAAGGCAAAAGCAGAATAAGATCTGTATACGATAGTAGAGGTAGATGACCAGATTTGGTTTGGAATTTTAAAAATT